GGACGCTTGTGGCGGCGCGGACAAACAAGCTATATAATACCTTTACATCGACGGAAATGAGCACGGTGTTTACGGCAAATTTTGACAATTGGAGGGTCGTCTATTGCGTCAATACGAGGATCTCGACCACATCGCGAATTATGTAGAGCTTTAGTCGCGTAAGGTTGTGCCCTTGGAAGATATTTTTCTGCGTTCGTCGTCGAGGTCTCAACAAAGAGAGAGACGCGCACGTGCTTTGAACGCGGAAAGGACGGCAACATGAAGGCCAACTGTCGAAGCACAGACATGGATAGTCACGATGGCCATCTTGAAGATCGTGGCGTGGACCTCGATTTGGCGATCAACGATCGTGGACTTAAAAAGAATAACCCGCATTCGTCTTATGCTGTAGAAGATGCGAAGGACGAAATGGTGAGAGATTATTGGACAGTAATTCAAGTATACACCTCGTAAAGAAGGAGAGCCTGTTGCTAAATGAACAAGACTGCAACTACTAATGAAACATGGAGGATGGAGAGACATTCTTCCTGTCACGATTGGGAACTGTCCAACTATGCGTGATGGAAGGCGGAAAGGAGCGAATAATCAAGCCCAGAGATGTTTGCCTTGCTCCTAAACTCGAACGCAACATCCCTTAGTATTGGACACTCGAACTCAAGGGTTTCGTATTTTTTTCGATAGATTAACAGGATCTATAGCCAAGACAAGCAACTGGGAAGTGTCATTTGATCCAACTGAGAAGAAACACGTACTTCACGCCCAGGCAATTGGTGATCCGCACGTGAAAGGCACGTCTGCCGATGTTATCATGGCATCGTGTTCGACGACGGAGTGGCTGGATCATCGTTTGGGATGCAAAAGAGAACGCTCATGCATTTTCTACCAGAGGCTTGGAAGCCTGTCGTATGACACAGTGAAGAGAATGGCGAAGGATCGTGCGTCAGAGATCCAGCAATGATGGCGCAGATTACGTGTCTGTCGTGTGCCAAAGGGAAGCAGACGATGGATATTTGATCGCAAAAGGACCCCGGCATAAATTCGCCGATAGACAGGATGAAGGGAGTTGATTATTCAGACATGAAAAGACCAATGACGCCAAAGGAAATGCATGAGAACAGATATATTGTAAACTTTGTCGACCACAAGCTGAACTACTGACGCTTGTTCTGGCGCCGACCTAGGACCGGGCAGAGCATCAGTTCAGACATTTATTGGATTTATTTAATAAACGCAGCAGCTTCCGGTTCAACATGCGTTAATGTGATAGAGAGTACACAAACGTGGAACTGTTATGTAAGAGCACCGTCGTCACGCGACAAGTCTCAGAGGCGATAAATTAAGCGTTGAACTGGAAGGCTAAAAGGGTGTAACGGATCGTACAAACATGATGCGGTCCATGATCTTTGCAAGTCGCCATCACTTTACAATTTGAGCAGTGCAGTGGGTGCATACGCGGCACTCATCGTGAATCGAAGTCCAAAAAGCGCAAATTTGTATCGCGCGTCGCCATTGCAATTGCTCAAGGGAGTTGCTCCCCATCTGCGCAACATAGTAATTTTCGGCTCAAGTTGCACAGCTAATCGCAACCCGCGCAAGAAACTTGCTATCTCAGCGAGCGCGAGTCGACATTATCGTCGGGAGGAGCGACGGATAAAGAGGATATGGAGTGTTCTTGCAAAAGAAAAGGGTTTTATTCGCCACGCAGCATATAAAAATCATTGTGACGCTTAGCGACGAACAAAACAGCACCCTTCAGAGTGCGTTTGCGTAAGACGATCAAGCAGAGCCAACCGCTGATGTCAGAAAGGAACTGATGTAGCGTCAAAGTGAAAGAGCGCGAAATCAGAACATATGAAGCAGAGAGAGAAATGTCAACTTTGCGTAGCGGACGATTAAAAGAGCAGTCATGTACCTGCTCGTCACATGGCACGCGTGGGGCTTCGAAGCGCTCGCAGCAAGTCGTGGAACAGCAGAAGTCAGCCAAAACGCAAGCATCGTCGACCACGTGTACGATCGTGATCCGAAGACTGCGGAGAAGCGATGAGAAGCTCAAAAAGGAAGGATTGGAAGATCGCGATGCGTGAAGAATTGGCTACGCGAAAGAAGAATAACGTCTGGACATGGATCCAGCATTCAAGCGGGAGCAATGTAATGCATACGAAGTGGGTGTACAAGACGAAGACTGCAGCTAACGACGACGTATATCGCCAAGAAGAGATGCTTGTGGCTTACGGTAACAATCAAGTGCTCGGGATCGATTTTGCTCTCAAATTTGCTGCCGTGATGGATTTGTCGACGGCAAAAATCATCTTTCCTCTAGTGGCAACATGGGGAGTTGGGGCGAAGCATAACTATATCCCAAACGCCTACGTTAAATCTGATTAATGGGCCGACCTCGAAATTATCCTACAAGTGCCAAACGGAATGGATGTGAGAAGTGAAATGTCGAATTGTAGGAAGCAATGAGTATGGGTGGGCTTGCACTGCAACTTCGCAAAATATTGTATGGTCTTGGGCAGGCAGGGTGGCTGTGGATCCAGCTGCTTTACGCTTGCCTTCTTGTTGCTGGTTTCCGGCAGTGCGTATCGTATCTGTGTCTATATCATAATAAGGACGGAAAAGACCTCGTAATTGTCTGGGTCTACGTAAATGATCTGCTCGTAACAGGTACGGACGCAGCAGCCGACGATCGCTTCTTCGAAGATCTTATCAGATTGCCAATTAGAACCTAGGAACTGTACACATATTATTGGGAATGCGAGTGACTATAGGAAACGATGGAAGATACTCAGGGACCATGATATTGCCATTAGTAACATCCTGAGAGAACATGAACTCAAAGATGCAAACTCGACGCGTACTCTTATCGGTGCGGATAGCTACGAGACCCATTCGAAAGACCGCGCGCTCGTGACAGATGCCGACGGTGGATCTCTGAGCATTTATAATTTTGAGTCGCTCGTCGGCCGTCTGTTGCGGATGTCGCGCTGCACGCGACCAGACAATTCGTCTACTGCTCAAAGGAGACACGTCAAACGCATCGGCCGCGAGTCCAAAATTATAATCTCGCCAAGCAAACGGCAAAATATCTAAAGGGTTATCGCGATTTGTGAGCTGCACATGACGCCGGTGACGAGTGCGCAAGATAAAGTGACTCTAGAGTCTTATTCGGATGCGGACTTCGCGGACGACAAATAGGATCGGAAGTCGCTGACCGGCGGGGTCCTTTTTCACAACGGATTGGCGGTGAGCTGTAAGACCTAGAAACAAGGTGATGTCTCACTCTCCATTGCGGAAGCCTAATTTGTTGCTGCGTCAGAGCAGACGCGTGAATTGCTTAGGATCCATGAGATGTTGTCAGAAATTGGAATGGCGCCAAAGATGATCATTAATCATTCATCGGCAGTCAAGCGGCGATCAAGCAGCTACATGACGAGGCTTTGTCGTTAGAAGAGAAGCACATTGATGTGCGGCTCAGGTTTGATCGTGATTTCTCACTACGTAAGATAATTTTGGCGCAGTACGTGAAGTCTGAAGCTCAGAATGCGGACCTCGTGACGAAGGCTCTGAATGTGGTCAAGACTACGTCGATGTACAAGTTGATGAGCCTTGGGTAGAGGCAGAGTTCATCGAGACAGAAGGAACTACGGTTGTGCTGTAGAAGAGGAAGAGTGTCAGAAGAGTGACTCGCGCTGGACGAGGAAAGAGGCAAGAGGCGCCTGACGACACTGTTTCGCCCAGCACATGGTTTCACAGGGTGTTCGGACCGCAACCAATCGATTTATCGGTAGGCAAGATCACCGGGTCAAGAACAGATTGAAGCATACAAGTGACCAACGCTGTGCTACTGAAGGTTGCAAAGCGTAATACAAAATCCGGTTGGTCTCAAGCCTATTCTTTGGACAGATCGTCCATATGACAGCAGCCGTCACTTAAGCAGCGCGACCGGTCCGTTAGTAGATCTGGTTACAAGTGATGAGATCGACCTGTGCCGTATCAGGTAAGTCTCTGCAGAAAAACGTGACAGACGTAACACGACGAGCGATTGTCGACTGTTGCTCGACACCTGAGTACAGGTTAGACTAGTGGACTGAAAGCTAGGCCACTAAATACAAAGGAGAACAAGACTCCCATCGACGGCTGTCGCTTGATGGAAGCCAGAGTCGGTCTGCCATGCTGACGAGGGTGTCAGTATTTGTCCTTGGGCAACTTACATGGCAGGGATCAGCTAATACTCTATTATAATCCGATAAATCCTTGTGCATAGGAGTTGCCCACAACTACGCCCAGAAATAAGACTTGTATCGCTTCATTTGAGTCATCTCATCGAGAACACCTTCTTTCGTCGGTGGCCTCCCGAGATCTCTTTCATTCTCGACGAGCATTTCTGTTGATCGTGCATCAAATACGTATTCATCCTCTGTGACGAGTGCGCAGATCTGCGTTACTATGAGGCTACGCAGACCAACCAATATTTGATTTATTTGGATCGAGAGTAGGCTACTGGAGTATTTCGAAAGTCGACAAAGGAGGCACTATCAGATGAAATGTACAAGTTTCTTCGTCTCGACGATCACGTCGCTCAACGCAATCACAGAAGCTCATGCAGTGTCGCTCGCTACTCCAAAGAGCCGTGAAATCGCAATCCTCTTCTTTCTTCTTCTTTGATTTAGAATTTGCTTTTGCTGCTTAGAAAGTTCCACGCGCGAGGATGCTATATATATATATATCGATAAACGTCGGACGCCTTTGCACACACTCGAGAGAGTACCATCTTGAAACGAGGGATCTCGTAGTGTAAACCTGCAGCACCATTTATTATTAACTGTCACAAACGGATTCTGTCGATGAAAAATAAATTCCTCTCCGTTTTGAGGCTGAATAACTTCCGTCGAGGTCGACCCTGTCGGTAGTTTACCGGCTGTCTTCTTTCAGCCAATCACATGCGCCCATTCCCTCGATTCCGTCCTCGCGATCCAAGAACACTCTCCTCGAGCGCCATGCGCCCTCTCTCCCTGCTGTTTGTCGCGGCGGTGGGGGCCTCCCTCGTCTCGGCGGCCGACGTGCTCGTCCTCGGCAAGTCGACTGCTCCTCTGTGGCACAAGACGCGCTCTTCGTCCTCCTTTTCCGGCGCTGGATTGACCAACTTAGCGCTCCACGCGCTGGGGCTCCCCAGTGGTCGGCACGTTCCGTCCAGTTCTGCTGCCCTGAGCCCGCTACAGGCGGATCTCTTCACGCACAGTGAAGTGTACGCTATGCTGCTGCTGGACGGACTATCGACAGCGAGTTTGGAGGCCATTGACGCCGCTTTGCACGATGTTGATGCGTTCCACGACGTGTATCCAGTGGAAGACAGTCCCATGATGGTGCCAGTGACTGTAGCCAACTCATTCCACGCCAAGTACCCTCAAGCAGTCTATTGTGCTGGCACGCAAGCCCTTTGCAGCAGTGTCGGGGTCCAGGCCGCTTCTGAAGTTGCAACAGTCGTGCAGCAGGTGCTCGCAGCCAACAGCTTTTTGAGCCCTCGCGACGACGCAGACGTGGCGTTTGCCACGCAAGTCGCACAGGTGATGCAGCTTACCGCGGACATGAAGCAGCACAAGGACGGAAAGATGCTGTACGTTGTGGGACTCTCGAGTCTGCAGGGACACAAACAGGAGCTTGCGGAACAGCTCGTGACGGCCACGGTGACGGAGTTTCTGGATCAGTTGATGAAAAAGGAGCTACCGGTGGCAGCTCAAGTCATGACAGGCAGTCTCCCGGATGTCATGTCCCAAGTGACGGCGGTTTCGCGTCGTGCACGGACCCGAAGGTTGGTGTCGCACAAGGCGAAAAAGAAAGAAGAGAGTGAGGAGAGCGAGAGTGGTGCTGACGACAACGAAGAAGACGACGCGGCAAGTGGCAGTGTGGGGGAAGACGATGCGAACGCCACTCTTGCTTCCAACTCCAGTGCACCCGGAGCCGTGTCGATGCCCGATATCGCGCATTACCAGATCATCCTATGGACGTCGATATTGCTGGGCGCTATGCTGCTTATGTCGGTGCTAGCAATGGCCAACATGGACGCTGGCCGCGACAGCCTTCTTTACGCCAAGTTTATTGCCGACGTGAATGGCCGCAAGACTAACTAGTTTTGTCTAGGTAGCTGCAACATGTTTGCAAGCTACGGCATCAGTTCAAGTCGAGTGAGTCTTTTGTGCCAGGAAGCAGACGTTTTCGTGCGAGCAATCCTTTTATGCATCATCTTGTTTCTTGCCGGGTACTTGTGTGTCCACGCGGCCATCTGTTTAGTCTCCCCAGCGCTCATAGAGTCTCTCTCTCTGGCTTGTACGGACGCGTAACACCAGGACGTAAGTCAAGGAGGATGCACACGTCATTGAATGGCCGCGTGACGAGTCTTCTCCACCCACAATTCCCCAAAGTCGACAACAAAGCACATGAAAACCCGATTGTGCTACAGTAACGGAAAGCAACAGCTATTGCCAAGACGAACTCAGCCCAACCTCCCAAGTACGTGCCTTGCTTTGTTCTCTTTTCGTCAACTCTTATGATGACTTCGGAGGTCATCTTTCTAGTGCGTAAGTCGATTCCGAAGATGAGGAGAGTGGGGCTGTCATATTAACATGCTGCGACTTTCGAAGTGGAACGCACTATCGATCGTATGTACATATCTCTTTGATTGATGACTGCATCGAGCGCGTAAGTCGCCCTTCCTGTGGTCAAGAAAGCAGGAAAGAACGTGATAATGGAAGTGATGAGTGGCCAGAATTCTGTAACCCATCGGTAGTGACATGTGGCAGGCACTTCCTCTATGGACACCCAGCAGGACGAGGAAAGGAGCAGGAAATCATGTGCGTCATCGCAGACGATCACGATAATTTTTCAACAAATGGCGGATACAACACGTATCTACACAATGCGTGTGAAGCCGTCCAGAGCATTGATGAGCTCATCCTTTGCACGTTGGCCTTCAGTGTCACACGCCGAGGGCGCTACCGATTCCTTGATGGAAAAGGGTGACGTACTCGTCTTGCTGACATAGGCAGTACAGATGTCGAATTGTCATCGATGTTGGCGCCAAAGTTGAGTTGCAATGGCGTTTCAATGAGGTGCGTGCACTGCTATCCATCCGCTCGCGTCCTTCGTTATTACATTGTTGATGGTGTCAAACAGTAGATGTTAATGGTCTAACGGGGACATTATTTGAGCCACATCCCTCCATTGACTGTCGGTTGAAGTGTCCTGCTCGATCGCACTGCGCTTTTGTTGCCACTTGCAAATCGTTCCAGTGTCGATTTCTATTCAGGAGTTAGAACGTGCGTTGCAGCTCTCGTTGAACTGGTCTTGCCCGTATCAGGCATCCAGTTTGTCATCTACCATTCACGCTTACTAGCGACTTGAAGTCGAGTTCAGCAGAGAAGTTGACTACCGGGTAGAATGACCGTCCTGGTGACTGTCGCGAGGAACCTGCATGACGGCTTCGAGCTACCTCGTTTGTGATTCTTACGCGTGGTCCTGTTGTATCACCCGATACACGATATGGCTTCCGGGGTGTGAACGTTTGGATCTATCTAATCGAGTAATGCGACCTGCACGTGGCACTAACATGTGCAGAAGTTGTCGACGATGCAACGCGTTGAATGGCAACACGCACATTCGGCATAATGCGGTCAAGCCTTTCGACCGATGGCGAGTTATATGTGACACCGCGATCGTGGCGCTAATGAGTTGAAAAGACTGACATTTAACGGAGTGCCGACCTGGTGTCCGATCAAGTATCGCGCTGCTATCAGAGGCGCGTTCCATTGTGTCGTGCTGCTACACCTGCTGCTTGACATTTCGCTGAACATGTACTGATCTTTGCATAGTCGGCGTCCAGAATAGCACAATGAAGAGATATGAGTGCAGCAGCTTTCAAGCCGAGCATTTGCTGGCGACCAACACAGCGATGAACAAAGTGGGCAACGCTTTCTATCTTTACTTGCTTGTTGCATTGGCTAAGTCTAGCGTCAAGCAAAATGGCACAATACAGTCATTGCGTGCAGCTGTGCATCATGCTCTACGGCGAAAGTGATCACCTCAGGAACTCTGACCTGGATATCAAAAAGTCTTGCGACACCATGCTACTACCATAGAGTCTTCAAGAGACTGCAATCTCTTCACTTGCTTGCTCGACTTGACCTTCCTTCACTTCACCAGCCACGACGCTTACATCTATTGCTTCACCATCTTGAACATCAAGATGCTTGGACAACAGTGTACTCTGAACCCGTGAAGTTTTCTGCAGTCGTTTCTGGAGCTCATTTATCTATGCACGACCAACAACAAGAACCACCAGCACAACGTCAATACACTACAGCTTTCCTTTGCCAGAACTATGCAGCTCTCACATTCGTCAGTCCAAGACAAGCAGCTGCGCCACCCACTACAACACAGCATCCCGCCACCGACACCACCGTTACTCCCAGCAGAGCCTTCCACGCTGCCGTGCCCGGCGGCAGAGGCTTATTCAGCGCTAATTTGCGCTCGAAGAAGCTCGCAGACTTGGGCTTGAACTCCTTCGTACACTTTGGCGTCTTGCCAAAGCTCTTTTCCTCCTCCACGAGCGCCTTCTTCTGCGTGGTCAGGCCATAGTAGAAACCTAGCGCACAATATTGCAATAGAAAATTACATCGAAACATGCCAAGATACCGACACAAGACGTGCAAAATAATCCACAGAAGGCAGCGCAGTCGATCGATCACACGCGCACCTCCTCCGAGAAACATCACAGCCACGGTAGACACTGCCGCCAGCGTAAGTGAGACCGTACGCCGTGGCAACGACACATCGACCTCCGTGTCGTCGGCGTCGCTCATTTGTGACGAAAGCGGACGAATGTCCACGCGATGCGAGCACCTGATTCGCTGAATGATTCAACAGCCAATCAAAGCGCAATCTTGCGCTTACGTCGATGGTCAAATTTGACGGTAGCGGGAACAAGCTCGCGTCACATTTGCAAATATGCGGCTGCACGTGCTTGGCTGTGGCCATCGGTTGTTCAGCTCTCGCCGCTCGTCGTATCGATTCGCGCTGCTGCCAGCTGCTCTGGAAGCGTTCCACCGTCAACATGACCATTTCGTCGTGCCCTTCACGTTTCAGGTGCCGCAGAACGACCCGTTCGAGACTAGGGACTCGCTCTTGTGGCCGGAAGGCACGCGTGGAATGCAGCTGGGACGCGAAGTGCGCCAGTTCGTGCGCGTTTTAGGCCGTGATCACGACACACCGACACTTCAGCGTGTCCGACAGCAATTGGACGCCATTAAGTTCCCTGTTGTTGGCGACTGGCGGCGCTTCCAGTGGGAACAACGAACAATCTCAGCGCTGACGAGGTACAAAGAGATGGAGGGCCACCTCGTGGTGCCTCGTACCTTTAAGGTGCCACGAGGCGATCTACAATGGCCACGAGCGACGTGGGGACTCAACTTGGGCATGCGAGTCACTTCCTTGCGTCAACACCGAGAGAAGTTGAGGGCGTACCAGATCCAGGACCTCGACGACATTGAGTTTGTTTGGGTCATCGCGGACTACACGTGGGACGTGCTGTTCATGCCTGCACTGCGGCACTATCGCCAACTGTATGGCCACTGCGACGTGCCGCAGAACTATGTGGTTGGCAGCAGTGATCGAAAAGAGGACTCGGAGTCGTGGCCAAAGAGACTGAGAGGCTATCGGTTGGGACAGTCGGTGAACTGCATTCGATCGCGATCGGCTTTCGCGGCGTTCCTAGAGCGCGACAAGCTGGAGCTGCAACAGCTGGGCTTCTACCCGACTACGAATGACTGCAAATGGGCAGAAACGATCTTACCTACGCTGAAGACGTATCATCGTGTGTACGGCAACTGCAAGATCGACCCGTACTTTATCGTACCAGAAGAAGAGCCGTGGCCACCGTCCGCGTGGAATCTTCGCCTTGGCTTTACGGCGCGGAATATCCGAAGTCGAGGCGATTACTTCGTGCAAGTCGCACAAGACTTCAAAGCGCTCGAGGAGATTGGTTTTGTGTGGAACATGGTGGCAGTCAAGTGGGAGTTCACGGTGTTGCCGGCGTTGCACACCTACGTGCAAGAATACGGGCACTGTAAGATACCTGCTAGCTTTGTGGTGCCATGCAACGATCCATGGCCAATGAAGTCGCACGGGTTCAAGTTGGGGCAATTCGCGACAAAGCCTGCGCGACGCGAGCGATATGCAGACTTTATCGAGATCGACCGCATGCCATTGGAGGCGCTTGGATTCTTCTGGTCAATTACATCGGACGACGCGAGCAGTGGGCTGCCGTCCACAGTGCCGCATATCACCATATCGTGATCGCTCGTGCGACGAGGCCGTTTGTTCCTGCAAGCTCTGCGTCGCCCAACGTCTCTGCTCAGCCGTCTTCGTTCGCAGCAAAACAGCGTACGTCATCTACTCCTGCTTCGTTTCCGTGTGGTGCACCGTCGAGGACGATCGCGTGGACGACTGAGCTCGTGTGTCTCCGTTTTTCTCGGCAGGTCCGCGCGAGCGAGACGTGCGGTCTCGACCCACTTGGGCCATCGTACTGTACCGCGGCAGGTAAATGCCCAGCGCACCTTTTGCCACAACAACAACAACAACAACAGACCGCAGGAGGTGACCCCATTTCGGGATTAGTCGCGTTCATTGTGTACACGAGAACTGGGTATGCTGCCCACGCACCTGTGACGCCGATCAACGTGAGGCCAAAGCCAAGAAGGACTTTTCGTTCTTTCTGCATGTGTCGACAACTGGCCACCTACCAAAAGAGCTCGTGCGACTCGCCGCCACAAGGTATGAAAAGCAAAACTGGTGCGCCATAAAACGCAAAACATAAATGCGTAACGAATCGGTAAGATATCGAGCTAAAAAGCGGTACCTTTTCTTATTGCACAGTTCGGTGGAGAACCGGTAGCGCGAGCCGCAGCTACCGTCGTGGTACCGGCCGTCGCCTTCTGTTACTTCTACTTACCGCGTTTACCGACCCAAGCGATTTGATTGATCACGACCACGTCATGGTCGTCAACCTCGCCGAGGAGGTCCTGAGCAGTGTCTTGCAGGCGGCAGAAGCGCTCCGCGGCGCTGTACTTGCTGCCGAGTCCGGATGTATCGAGAGCTTGCGCTGGTCTGGAGCGATGCCGCTGTTGCTGCGCGATTTCGGCGTCGAGAACGTTCTCTCGGCCGAGCAGCTGCTCGCGTGCGAATCGTCGGAGACGCTGCGTCGTCTGCTGGGCGTCTCTGCCGCCAGCAAGAGTGTTGAGCACGTTGTGCTGATGCTGTCGGGGTTCTTGTGGGATTACGAAGCGGCTCTGAAGCGGCTATTGACGCTGAACGTCGTGGCTCGACTCACAATCTGTAGCAGTCTCTCGGAACGTGCGCACGAGTGCTACGATAGGGGCACAGCAGCGCTCCTCGACCGAGTGACAGGAGACGAAGATACTGCCATGCATTTTGAAGAGTTTGCTGCTGGTTTACTGGACAAGAACGCACCAGAGCGGACGGCAAATCGAGCAGAATTGAAAGACGGACAGCACGACGACGACTGGAGCTGGAATGAGGATGGAAGCGCAGACGAATTTGTCGCTGACATTCAGTGTTGTTCTGAGTTCTACACGTGCGTGCGTGTTGTCCACTTACCGCTGAGTGTAGTGCCGTTGCTGTCGTCGAAGACGCTGAGTCCCGAGCCGTCGGTGTTTGTGCTGTCGCACCCGACGTGTGCTTCTGCTTTCCCGTTGCTGCTACACCAAGTGGAAGACGAGAGAATGTTTGCTGGGCGGCGACAGAAAAGCATGAAGACGGGCGGCGTGGGAGAAAAGGACACTAAGATGTACGCGCATGTAAAGGACGTGTTGCCGGAGCATATTCCGAGCTCGTTTCGAAAGTCGATGCGATTGCTGGCGTATACGCTTGCAGAAATGACGGTCGGTGCGCAACTGGACGTCAGAGACCGCATATTTGCAGTTGGCACAACGTCGCTAAAGATTGGCCACACGTTATTGCGAATCTTGAGTGACATGCAAGAGGCGACTCCTGTAGCACTTGCAGGACAGCAAGTTACCTCGATGGTCATCCTTGATCGGTATGATTTGCTTTGTACGTTGGCGAGTGGGGACAGAGTATGCGGTGATGACGTTCTTTCTTTTTGTGTGTGGTAGGACGTGTGATTTGGCTTCGCCGTGCTCATTTGATAGATCTCTTCTTGATCGTATTCTCGATTTACTACCCCAAACGCCTACATACTGTGCTGCAGGAGAAGGCACGTCCGGACATAGAACAACGGTGCGTCGCTAGATCGGTATAGTTTGCAAAGTTGAAGGGACCGACCTCACAACAGGATGTACATGGCCATAGACGCGACGAAAACTAAACGTGACCGACGTATTCCCGCTGCATGGGTGCGAGCCGACACCACTATCAATGCCGCATGCTGCAACTCATGACAAGCTCGAGTATCTGCCGTCAGAGTTTGTTGCTCAGATTCAGTGGAAGGGTGGCGCTAGTCTGTGTCATCCTACGATACCGAGCAGCTCGAATGTCTTTCGATCGTTATCGTTCAGGCCGGCAAAGCTCGCACTGCGCGATCTCGACAGACGGCTCCAAGCTGTAGAGCAAGATCTGATTCGACAGGGGAGCATTCAGAAGTCTGCTGCCACGCGTAGGCCTGGAGAAAAGATTCGTGGGCGTGATGTTGTGTTGCGTCGCATCAGCAAGATATTGGAGGCTGGTGAACCTACGAACCTGGAACAGAGCTCTCTGATTGAGCTCGGCGTGATTGTTCTAGAGACACTAAATCGGATGGATCGGTCGCAAAAGCGGTGGGATAAGTGCCGGGAACGGGCCGTGCGGCATGTCGAGCTTCGTAAGAAAGGGGGTTGCGAGTGGATTCTTCCTGAAGTTGCCGATGCGATGCAGCGCCAAACGTCTGCGCTACAGTCGGGCGCATCTCACGTCAACGAAGATATTCTTTCGCTGCATGAGTTGTTGATACTGCTGGTAAATGCGTTTGCCCTGTCCTCTGGTGTACAACTCGAGGACTTTACTACGCAAATGGTGCAAAAAGCTCTCGTCGAGTATGTTTTGCAGGTAGGTCCTTGTGGCATACCCTGTTCGTTGCGATGCCAGCTACCGCTAACGTGTTTTCGAATGTACCCCTTAGACCGTGAGAACGGACCCGCTGGCCGTTGAGCACGCGCTTCCGGGGCTGTACGATCTGCTTGTTCCGTACCTTGGCAGGAATGAACCAGATGCAGGGCATGATGCTCCAGATCAAGTTGGCATCGAAAGTGGTGATTGGGAATGGACTGATGGTGGCAACTCGCCGACCGGAACTTTCGACAAGCATGATGATGTGCCGCTGCTTGAGGCGAGGCCCGTTATCGAAACATACGTCGAAAACTTGACCGAATCGTTGGAGGTGACGCTGACCATCCTGTCGAAGCGCGCACACGTAACTGTACTGACGATTCGTGACTGCCTTTGCGATTGTTACAGGATTGTTTGGATCAGTCTGTGGCGATTCACGATAACGAAGCAACCTCCCCGACTGAAGAAGAGCCGCAATCGCTCATTGCGCGACTATGTTGTTCTATTGTGGATCCATCAGGAGCATCTAGTTCGGCGATTCACCACGTACGTTGCACGCTGATGCTATTCGTCAATGTCACGCTTGCAATCTCGCTAACACCAACGTCGGCCGTGCACGAACGATGAAATGCAGGTCGTTGATGCGTCTGAACAGCTGACGCGCGCAGGCATCGATCTACTCAAGAGCGGTCTCAACAAGTTCGGGTTTGGCATGGGAGGCGGCAGTTCAGGTGACCAACACAGCACCAGAGGTAGCCGAATAATGGACGATTCGAGCACGCTGATTGTGTTTGTGGTGGGAGGCATCACTTTCAAGGAGGTACGATCCGGCCGTGTTGCATGAGTCATGTGTAAGTGTGAAGTGCTGACTAGAGCTGATACTGCTTCCTTGTAGATCCAAGAAGTGCACGATGCGCTGAGCGACAACAAGAAGTATCAGATCATTATTGGCGGAACGACGATCACGAACAGCGATGTTATACTGCAGAAGCTATTCACTTTCTAACAGACCAGCAGCGCGAGTTGGGTGCGAGTAAGTTGACAAATGACACCTGCTGACCTGTAGGTGGAGAGTCTTGGCGTTTCGCATGCACACTAGAGCTTGGAAGAGGGCCGAGTCTTGACTTGACGGCCAACGGACACATGACCGGTCGCGCTGTTGACGCAGTAAACGGCTCTCTCGTTCATCGAGTCGAAGTCGGCCGGCTCAGCACAGCCAGAGAAATGTCGACGGTTTATTGAGTCGAGGTCGGCTGGCTCAGCACAGCCAGAAATTTGTCGGCGTTTTCGTGTACAAGCATCTGAATATGCGGGAACAGTGGATCATCGTCACAATATTGGTATCGCCAGGGCTTGTTACCACGGTGAGAATTGTGTCCACGCACGCTTAACCCACTGACAAATGGCAATGCCGCTTTTGCTGGAAGGCAAAAATGACGGAACATCATGCTGGTAGGATCTAGCAGCGCCAAGAATTTACGACATGGAGCTTGTAATGCGCGACTGGGGCCGTCATCCCAGGTTCGCCCGACTAACCAAGTCAAAGCGGTCGTTGCTTGGAAAGAAGCAGCTTGTGAATCACTTGGACAATGCAGACTCGATATTGATGATACCATCATGCGTTTGGTGCTAGATCTCCTACGTCGGCTCATGCCGATCTGACAGTCAACCAGCACGAGTCTTGACGACGGAAACGTGATGCTGATGCGAGTACCGAGCTCTCGGACACGGGGATGTGCATGTTATCGACCATCGGATGATACGCTGCACACACGTTGGACTGCCGCGTCATTAGATGTGTGAGGCAAGAGGAAGGAAGGCAGGAGGGGCTGTGTCTGAATGACACGATCGACGATGCACGAAGCGGCCTAGCAGCTGTATCACTTGATCCGCCACGGTGGCAATGATGGACCACGATGGAAACCAACGTGGAACCGAGCTGGAGATCTGGTCGTGCGACTTTGTTGGGAGTCTACAGCGCAAATGGGTTTCGCAGCTACGAAGATAAGGCATGTGGTGAATCGAAGAAGGCTGTAGACACGACTCACGATAGCTGACACCCGTACGTGATCCAGCCGCGCGGACACCTCCGATGAAATCTAGGACACGCCTGACTCCTACGAAGCAGACGGACAAGTGCTGTGGCTTCTATCGAGAGAAAAAGCACTCGCAGTGTGGTGGCATGCACGCTTGAACCGTCGCCGTCTACACTGCAACCACGAGCTGAGCGAATGGTCCGAAACAAGTTGTCCGGATCAAGCTTCGCGAACTTGATGTTTGTCCACTGAGGCTGCCCATATATTCATGAACACGCAGGCGTGGGGCATGAGATGGCAACGCCGGGCAGTTACGGTACTTGATGCCGAAGCAGTGATGGGCATAAGCTCTACATTTGGTCTCTTTAGCGAAGAGTGAGTCGCTTCCGAGACTGTTGTTCGAGATTTACAGGATAGAAACAGACTGCGATCAGGATTAAATGGTCGCCTTTATACTGCCTCTTTTGTCAGGACGGTGTTTCCAATCGGTACGCGACTCGTGTTTAATCCTCATAATCCGATCACAAAAACGCGTTAAGAATGCTGCCCAACATGTGGCTACGCCGTGGTCGACGGCTGCTATCGGTCACAGCGCCTTCGGCGTGCGTTGCTGAGGCCATGCAACGGTTCCAAGACATACCATCGTTCCAGCAGTATCCGCACGCCTTTCCGGTCTCGATGTCACTGCAGGAGTATCAGCACAAGTTTGAGGCACTTGAGCCCCGAGCTCGGTGCACGGACGAGTCGGTCGCCCTAGCAGGTCGAATACAGTAACCCTATGTTGCGTTCCGTATTGTGTGTGGCATGATGTGCTTATGGTGTATATGAATGGATACGATTCGAATGGATGGCAGGACGTGTTGTGGCGATTCGCCATGCCAGCAAGAACCTCGTGTTCTTGGATCTGCAGAACGATGGCCACACGGTGCAAGTTCTGTCCGAGGTGAAGCACTTTCGAGGATCAAGAGATGATGCTACTGGCGGTGCTGGTGCTGGTGCTGGTGCTGGTGCTGGTGACAATAACAGTACCGACGAGACAGTGAAGAGCGAGTTTCGAGCGCTGCACGAGAGTCTGCGTCGTGGCGACATCATTGGGGTCACGGGGTTTCCCGGCAAGTCTGGAAAAGGCGAATTGAGCATTGTGCCAAGACAGCTGCAAGTGTTGGCTCCTTGTCTCCAGCCTTTCCCGAACAGCAAATACGGCATCAAAGAACCAGTAAGCAAGGGTGACAGAGCTAAATGAGAGCTTGTGAGGACCACTGCAAACTAACGGCGGCTGTCTGGCTGGATGTGTGGTAGGAAATCCGCTTCCGCAAGAAGTACCTGGACTTGCTGACGAATCCAGGTGTGCGGTCAATTTTCGTGACACGCGCAAAAGTTGTGCGCGGGATTCGTCGGTACCTTGAAAGCCGCAACTTTATCGAAGTCGAGACGCCAATGCTGTTTTCGGCGGCAGGTGGCGCAGCCGCTCAGCCGTTTGTGACGGACTCGCGGGCACTTGGCAAGGAGCTGTATCTGCGCATTGCGCCAGAACTGTTTCTAAAACAGCTCGTGATCGGTGGTTTTGACCGCGTGTTCGAGATCGGCAAGGTCTTTCGAAATGAGGGCATTGATGCCACGCATAATCCAGAGTTTACCATATGCGAGTTCTACCAGGCGTACGCGGACTACAACACTCTCATGGATATGGCAGAACAGATGATCGCGGGTATCGCCAAGGACGTGACAGGGTCGTGCATTGTACAGTACCCTATCGAAGACGCAAGCGAAGAGGTTGGTGAAGGATCTGCCGACAACCACTCGATGGTCGAGATCAACTTCACGCCACCTTACAAGCGTCTTCCCGTCCTTGACACACTCGAAGTGTGTCTAGGCGACAAGCTTCCGGACGTGAATTCACCAGGTACAAATGGCGGTATGTGTGCATGTTGTTCCAGCGACTACTGGACTCACCTGTTTGTCACACCTCTACTAGATTCCATACCGAAACTGCTGGAGCTGTGCGAGCAACATAATATTGAATGCTCCAAGCCGCACACGTGCGCTCGCCTGGTCGATAAGCTCATTGGGCACTTCATCGAGCCCAAATGCGTGCATCCGACGTTCTTGTACAACCACCCGACGTGCATGAGTCCGCTCGCCAAAGCACACCGCGAGCAGGAGGGCGTGACTGAGCGTTTTGAGCTCTTTGTGGCAGGCAAAGAGCTCTGTAACGCGTACACGGAGCTGAACGATCCGTTCGACCAGCGCCAGCGGTTTGCAGCACAGCAGGCGGATCAGCAGCGTGGCGACAGCGAGGCGCACAGCAAGGACGACGAATTTTGCACGGCGCTCGAGTACGGCTTGCCACCAACGGGTGGATTTGGAATCGGTGTCGACCGCTTGGTCATGCTGCTTTCGGGCAAGACGCACATTCGGGTACGTGTGTGTGCAGAGTTGTAAGTAGCAATGTACCATGTAACGTCACAACTTGTATGTTTGTGTGCTGCTTCGGTCCATGTCCACAGGAGGTCATTATGTTTCCTGCGATGAAGGCCAAGGAAGATACAGCAAAGCTGTAGAGCGTCTCGACTGCACGTCGAGCCTACTGGACCTGCACCTGAAGAAGTTGCTGGTCTGCCCAAGATGCAAAGAGATCAGTGTGTACCGCGTTCTGTGCGTCGATGATCGATGCGATATGCTGTGCTCATGATGGACAACTCCAATGTACTTTTCACTGGGTGCCATGGAGTATCACGTCGACCCAATTGCTTCGTGGCGTCTTTGCGTTTGCTCAAGAAAACGACCAGTAGTATCTGATCGAAAGCGAATGAACGACGTCTCATGATACGGTCTCCACTATCACGAACTCCGGTCTTTTGTAACCTTCCGAGCGCGAAATGCAGGTTTTTTCTCGATAGTAATAATCAAATCATGTATTCCATCAAGGAACTCACTGACCTGACCGAAAACCAGCTGGTGGGCCATCGTTTCCAACCAGTCATTAATGGCATCGTCCGGGAGCAGTTCGGCCAACGGCTTTTACGGTGCGCGAGCGACAGACTCGTGCCATGCAGTTGCTACAGCTGGCGCGTCGACCGCAACAGTACGTCTCAGGCACAACCTGCTGTTGCACTCACCCTCGCAGTGTTAAAAACGCCCAACACACAAAAGGCAGTCTCTAAACTGTCCACGTCTCTCTCTTTTTGTATGCTGACAAACTACGGTCCTCGCGCCACGTCGTACCTATATCGTTATCGCGTGTCAACTGCAGAGGTCATTAAACAAACGGACCAAACGACCGGAAGGACCGACTGCTGGAAAAAGATCGCTCGCTCGCTCGCTCTCTCTGCCTTTTCCCCACGTAAAAGACGCGCGCGCCGACCTTCAACCGTCGTCAGGTTGCTCAATCGGGGTCAGTCGACTGCCCCCGCCCCTCCCGCAACACCTGATGTACCCCGTCTGACGCGCCAGAGACAGGGCAGAGTGTACCCACCCTCCGCGTTCAACATCGCGCTCATGTGTCCGACCGACAAAAGAACGTCTCACTTTGCAATTTGCCCACTGCTGCACACGCCACAGCTGCGCTCCGACCAAAGCGCAGGCCATGACCACCGCCAGCGTCGGGTTCATTGGCGCGGGCCGCCTGGCGGAGCGCGTCGCGCGCCACGTCGTCCAGCACGTGACGCCGCAGCGCAAGTTCTGCTACGACAAGCAGCGCCTCGTGTCCACGTTGCTCGCGTCGGACCCGTGCGCCGCGCGTCGCCGCGTGTTTGCGCGTCTCGGCTTTACCACAACGGACGCGAACCAGGACGTATTGGCCGACTGCGACGTCGTTTTCCTCGGTACGGACGCGCGCGCAGCGCTCGCGGCCCACGCAACGAACGCCCGTACGCTCTACGTGAGCCTCATGGGCGACCTGCCCACGCGTGCGGTCGAGAAACTCCTCTGTCCAGGCGCCAAAGTCATTCGGCTGATGCCGCAGAGCGACCTGGCGAAACAGGGGCTGCCCAGAGGTGTGCTCCCGTTGCGCTCGTGGGCGACGGTCCGCGGCGCCCACGCGAGCGGTTGCGACCTGAAGCACGTCATGCGGCTCGCTGGCATTGAGCAGGGCATTGAAGTGGACGAGGCGTCGACGACGTGGAGCTTTATGCACCGATCAGGTGTTGAGCGGGAGCTGGGGCACAAGAGCGGACGGACGTATGACGTCGGTGCGACGATGGGCGGCCCCGCTGCTGCGCTGTCGAAGCGTGCTGTGCACACGCTTGGCAGTCGTGGTGGTTGTACCCGATACAGTAGAGCACGGACAGACGCAGGGGCGGCCGAGTTCAACGACACGTATGCGGTTGTACGGGAGCTCGCAGCGAGCAAGTTCTCTCGCGTCAATGAGGTCACGCACCGCGAGACGGGGCAGCAGTTTGCCGTGAAGATCGTTCGAGACGACGATTCGGCGCCGGAAGGACGGGAGATGCTGGTGGCAGAGGTGGGGGCACTCAATCGCCTGGCGCACCCACACATTATATCGCACCATGGCTTGTACAAGGAAGCAGGAACGTACTTGCTCGTGCTCGAGTACTGCAACTACGGCAGTGTCGGCGGCTTGATGGACGAGCTCAAGGTCGTTCCGGAGCACGTGGCGAAACGGATTCTGAAGCAGACGCTGGCGGCGCTCGCGTATTGCCACGAGATGGGACAAGTGCATCGAGATGTCAAGGCGGAGAACGTGCTGCTGTGTGCGAGCGAAGACGGTGTGCTCACGGTCAAGCTGGCTGACTTTGGTCTATCGGAGGAGCTACAGCACGGCAGCCGCCACCTCCAGACGATGTGTGGCACGCCACAATACCTGAGCCCTGAGCTAGTGTCTGGACGTCGGCATGGTGCACCAGCGGACATTTGGGGCGCAGGTATCCTCGCCTACATGATGCTGAGCGGGCTGGTCCCGTTCCACGAAGCAAGGAACGACACGGAGCTGTTCAAGCTCATTAGCCTCGGTGCCGTGTGGTACGACCAGCCACAATGGGCCGATGTGTCGCCAGCTGCAAAAGACTTTGTGCAGCGCATGCTCGAAGTGTCGGTCGAGTCGCGTTGTACAGCAGCAGAGCTCTTGCAGCACGACTGGCTCCGCGACGCATGACAATGTAGCCATTACTGCACGAAACAGATGCTAGTCGACGTAATTGTAATAACGTACCGTAAGCTGTGACGTCGGATACAGTCGTTGGAGTGCCTGACTTTTTATCGGCCAATCAGATCGCGCGCTTGTGGTGTCATCCGCTTTTTGCGCAAGTCGCGGACATTTATGGCGCGCACACAATGGCGAGCTGAGGACTGGAGTTGTCCGCTGTGCACGCTGCTGAACGCGGCGCACGACGACCGCTGTGCAGCTTGCGACAATAGAAGGCCTGCTGTGCATGAGCCGCGAAAGTCTGAGCGTCTGCCGTCGTCTGTAGCCGTCGCTACCGTCTCGAAAGCGCAGGATCAGGTCAATGGTCCACCTAGAGGCGTCTTTTTTAGCTCAGTGCCACACGGTCAAGACGTAAACGATTACGGATCCTCATGGAGACAAGAGAAGAGACTGGTCGTGAATCGACGGTGTGGAAGGTGGACGCGGAAAGGATCGATGGATCGAGAAATGCAGAAAAAGAGACTCGAGAGGCGGCTCGAGATGGAGTCAATCGAGCGCTTTGGCGACTCTATTGCGATCGAAAGCGCTGTAAAGACTGTAGAAACGACGGTAGGTGTCGCGTGTGACGATATGCATCAGGTACGACCGATGGTTGTGACGGAAGGCGAAGCCACGAGACAGGAAGAGGAGGAGGAAGACGATCCGGGTATGGACGAGCCCTGCTTTGATCTGCTGGGGTCTGGAAATGCAGTGTTCGCTGCACCACTTTCAGGTAACAGTGCGGACAGCTTTTGTGCTACAAAGGAGACGGAGGATCACGAAAAGCGGAAAGAGATCGAAGCAGATGAAGAAGAGGAGGAGGACGCGGTGACCACGTTGCCCGCATCGCGGTATCCTGGCTTCATACCGGCAAGCAAACTCGTGCAAGGAGGAGGAAAAAGCATCGACGAGAAGTTGTCGAGCGCAGGACTGGATTTGTCGAGCGATTCGGAGGAAGAGAAGGCAGCAGCATCGAAACACGTGACGCCGCACAATAAAGAAGAGGACTCGTGGGAAAAGGAGTGGGAATGTAAGACATGCACGAGCTTCAATGAACAAAGTGCGATGAGATGTGCAATATGCAGCCGCAGAAGATATGAAGGTGGGTACCACGGGACTGAGACGGTCGATGGATCCGAGCTGAAGTGGGCGTGTCATGTCTGCACGCATCTGAACCCACACGATGTGACCGAGTGCCTGGTGTGTCTAAGTCTACGAAAGACGGATACTGGAGCGGTGGATAGTCGCTCGGACAAAACGTGGGCTTGCGTCGTTTGCACAACCATCAACGACAGTGGCACTACACGGTGCGAGGTTTGTGACCGCTTGCGAGAGGAGGAACCGACAACGTTTGCAGAAACGAGTGGACGTGAATGTCCAGTGTGCACGAACATCAACTCGCCGAGTAAAACGCGATGTGAGATTTGCAATACGTGTTTGCCAACAGGTATGTTGCTCCGTGTACTCTCCATTTTTGTATCCGATTGACGTTGGCGCCTTGTCTTGTGCACTTTGATGTTGAAAGATACGACTCCCGGCAGTCATTTCGTCGACCTGTGTTCGAGTCCTCCAGCTCGCAATTCCGGTTATGCTGACAGACAAGAGTACGCTTTCCGTTTTTGTACACGTCAGATGAGTTGGCCTGCCACGATGCGTCATGCGCTGATCGGCATTTGTGGCTACGGTTTTTTTGCAGAGCCTTTACAAATTCGCATGCAAATTTGCCGCAGCACGATCACGGTAAAGTACCGAAGAAAGATGCTGGTTTGGATCCCGGTTTTGCTGAAGAAATTGATGATGATGATGAAGTACGACACGTGTTATACAATGCACATAGGTGCACAACTATCAGCTACTTTCGACTCACTGATCGTGTGCTGCATACTACTTGTGTCATCATTTGTGATCAGCCGATGATGTCCGTGACCAACCGACGTCCACCAAGAGCGCGTCCTGATCTATCGGAGTTCAAGCACTTCGTGTGCTTGGAAGACTTGCGTGGTGACTACGGCTGCTGCATCAACTACAACAAAATGTTTGCAGGCCAGAGGTACGTTCAGTCACACAAACTAGCCCTTCTGCATCGATCGTAATGGTTTCATTGCACCCTAGGTCCAACAAGTCCTACGCTGACCGTCTCGCAACAAGACAAGCACAGTCACGAAAGCGCAAGCGGGCTGTTGCTCAGCGAGAAGCAGGTCAGAGGCCCACCTCCTCCGCACGCGGTGGTAAAGCGGGTCGAGGGAGCAAAAAAAGGAAGACAGAAGCTGCACAGCGGCGAGGTATGGTGAATGGCAGTGGTGCATACTTTCGTCAGATGGATTGTTTTGGTGATCTGATTGTCTTGGTGCTGCTTGCGCTTTCCAGCTACTCCGGCTGGCGACAAAGTGGTGAAGCCCAAGAGAGCGAAGAAGAAAGTAGGAGCTTCATCAACACGCCGGGCCAATGCCGCACCGACGTACCAACCTGGCATCAACCATTACGACGATTCTGCGGCTGATCTGGGCGATGATCTTTCCACGATGGCGTGGGAGGGTATCGGATCCGCGGGTTATTTCTAACACAATATTTAATCAGCCATATGGCAGAATGACATCCTTTGACTGCAGGGTTGTCTTCGCTGCTGTTGACACGGTACTTTTTTCGAGGCATCGATAGTGATCAGGGATGACAAGGATCATTTGCGATCGTGTCCGGCATTTCGGGATGATATAACGATGAGGGCCGTGGGTGTTCTGTTGTCACCCCGTGTAAGCAGATCGCGAGACGGAAGCATCGGAGCAGCTACGCTATCGAAGCAAAAGTGCTGACGAATGAGTTGATCGGTTGTATGAGGGTGTGTGGCAAACGGTGTAACAGATCGTCCAGGATCGTGGCAAAGCGCCGAGACAATCGATGCAAGACGCCTGAGCTCAACATGTCAGTCAAGCTGTAGTGCTTTGCTCACTGTAGCTGGCTCACCTCCTGCTGACGATGTCATGCATTTGTATCTGAGCAGAGCAGACCGAAGAGAGTTTGGCACAGAGTGCACTGGAATCGCTGAAGCTGGCGTCGGGGACGGATACGCTCGAATCTACAGCAGGTATCGACTTATCTGCTGGTCGAAACGAGTGTGTGGATGGGTTGGACTGGAATCGAGCATTTGTGGAGGGAAAACATTTCGTCAGAATTGCAGAAAAAGCGTGCTATATCTTCTGACGTCACGTGACAGTCCGTGGTAGGCGGACTGATCATGGGTGTCGAAGCAACTGCTGATAGAACAACCAGCAGTCATTTGGTCTTGATCTGCTTGGGACATGGACGTCGCTGCGGGTACGACGTTTTTGTACATATCCAGGTATCACGGCATCCAGAGCCGCCGCATCCTCATCTCTCGCAGCAATTGTTACACCTGACACCATGTGCGAGATGAGCAAGACGTGCAGATGGTGAGGGCAAGCCAACATGGCGGTGTCAGATCCTTGTGCGGCAGCTGGACTTGCCCGGAGGTCCGATGCCATCAGCTGACGAACTCCGAGCTCATGACCGTAGTTGACTGGGTCATGTCAGTCACGTTCTTGAGTTACTGGCTTTCGTGAAAAAAATGGACAGGTCACATTGTCGGATCATTAGTCCGCCCGCTGGAGACGTAAAGCGCGTCGCGAGATATGGCCCAAAGGTGAGGCGTGTCTTCGTGACAATTTCCGTGTCGATGCGATTGCAATTGCACTTGTTGCACAAGTGGCGAGCACTGCTCTTCGCTTTGAGCACGTTGGACCTCAAATGATCCAACACGGCGTCCGCTTTGTAGGTCGAAGCTGTTCACTGCCTGCGGATACTTGGCATCGCCAGCCGAGACAACAATAGACTCGTCGCTGTCGATTGCACAGCGTAAACTTGGCAAATAGCGTTTTGTTGCGCCTTGCATGAACTCCACCACCGGCCGAAATGTCCGCAGATCCACGACTCGTAACTCCCCATTCGATCGCTGCACCACAGCTCTTCGACAATCGTTCAGCACGTGGATGTCAAGAATGGAGCCTGCAGGTTGAACTGTACACGTCTCTGCTTCCCACTCGAAACCTCGACGCGGAGCTCGAATGTCCCAACCCCATAAACCTCCGCGTTTCGTCCCATTCAGCACGACGTGGCCCTACGTATCGCACATACGACGGTCAAGAGCTCATGAGAGTTTAAGCACAGCACAAAGCAGTGAGGCGTGGACTTACCGTGTTGAAGAAGCTTTGAGCATGTACGTCACTCGTAAGGACTCCAGTTGGGGCGCGCTGGAAATTATCGGTGTTTGCAAAAGCATCCACGTACGCAGCGCTTGACGACCTGATGCACGATCGACAACACTTCAGAAGGGACAATTGTTGCACATGAGGCGACAAAGCGTGAAAACGCACCCGCCACATCCGACACTAAACTTGTTGGTGTCCGTCGGATTCCTACAATATGAAGAGAGAGAAACGAAAGACGACCAGGCAAATGCATTGGCCAAGACCCCACTTTGCTGCACGCCTCACTGGACACGAACCATTTGGCTGTCCATGGATCGACAAACTTCATGCGCTGTCATCACGTGACGCAAACACAAAACATCAGAAGCACGAACGAGCGTTGCCAACGGACTGACAACGAGAGCAACGGTTGCAGCAATCATCGACGAACCTTCATGCAAGCCATTGACGAGAGTGCAGCGTCACTGCGATCTCGATCATGTACTCGTAGAAAACACACGTTTCCTGACGGCACCTGCGAGCCGCTTCGTTGGCCAGATCCGAGATGACACACGAGCAACTCGAGCTCCCGCACTGGGCGCCACTGCAAAGACGTGATGACCCCGTGCAGAGTGAAATCACATATTGGATAGGCCAGTTGCGACCGTGTGGCTAGTCCAGCTTCTGATGACAGTGTCTGCATCCCAAGTATCTTCACCCTTCCACTACTAGCTGCAGTCAGTGCCAGCAACCAACCAAAGAGACGGACAAGCACACCGGTATCAGCATTCCAATTCATCCCCACGCACTCGTCCGACAATCGATCTGTCCGAATACACACCACCCACAGCTCCGAGTTTGCTGTCACGAGAATGCAGCGCCAGTGCTGTCAGTCGACCACTCGTTTCTACCTCGTGGGAGTCAACCACCTGTGAAGTCTACGGCAAAGAACAACTCGTCGTCAGTGAACGAAAGAACTCGTCGTCCAGTTCGTCCGTCCCGACACTCCCAAAGAAATACCCCCACACGGCAATGACCGTACCAGGAGCTTGGACACTACTTGAGGCAGGAACGCGCTTCGATCTCGACCGAATGCACTCCACGTCCAGTCCTTCTGTCGGTGCGAGAGAGCTGCTACCCAATTCTTGGGACAGTTATCGACGACCCCATACCGACAGCGACGTCGAGTTGGACAACGAAAGTGCCGCCGCCGTTCGACAATCTGTGGTCGTTCCTGCTCTTGTGCCTCGAGTTGCGTATCCCAATGGCGTCGCTCCGAGTCGGCACAAGTCCGAAAGTAGCGGTCTCTGTGCTCGTCATAGGAAAAACCTGCAAGTGGGGCCCCTCGAGCCGCCGTGTGGCCGATTTCGGCGCACGTTGCGGGCGCTTTGCTGCGGGCGTTTGCCCGTTGCGCTTCCAGCGCGTCGAGGAACGTCCGACGAGCGGTTTCTTCGTCCCGTCGCGACGACGTTCGCTGCTTTTTCTGCTTCTTGTGACGAGCCATTGCGAAGGAGCGTTTCAATCGTTTCGGTCGTTTGTATCAGCGCTTTCTGTGGCGCTTTGAAGTCCCATAGCGCAGTCGGTGCTGCATGTCGTTCGAATGTACGGCACGAGGGCGTTAAAAGTCTCTGACACGCGTACCCCGACAGCTGAGGCGGGTTCTGGTTACTGCTACTTCACGGTCGTACCCCATCGAAACGATCCGTTTCGACAGGTCGTTCCCGTATGGAGCCACGCGACGGCCACTGTGAGTTTCTGTACCACATTTCGCTGTCGCTTGAAAGCGACACAGCTCGTGCAATGTCTGGGGCTCTGATCGTTGTTCCGCGACTGGTCGATACACTGTGTATCGACAGTACCTGTTGGGTGCAACAACACGTCGCGCAGACGTTTGTGCTGCTGGCGTTTACCACACGCTTTGACTCGTACAGCGTCACAGCGTTGCAGTCGATCACGAACGATCGTCGCAAATGATGCAGCAGCACATAGTGTCGTCCCACAAGACGCGGGTGTCTGTATACAGCTCCGTTGCTGTCCACGTTCTTCCTATTGCCAAAGCGGTGCATGTTATCGGCAGAGCTATCGGCCAAGAAGGAAGTTTGGAGCACCTGTTCTTCCCATCGACGTCCTCGAGTCAGTCGCTCGATCTCAGCTATACGTTATCGCTCACCATGCAGACCTATTTGTTGCAGAGACGAAAGCTGTGTGTGCCTTGCGATCGTCGATCAAGACCCCGTTGCGGGATCCGTCATCGGTACTGCAGCCCTGTGCTCCATATGCAAACTGCATGTGCGTCCGTTTGTTCACTCAGCAGCGTCGATTCTGCATGGACTCTCGGGTCAGTACACGACAATGTAGTTCACTGCAAGGGCTTGACACCTGCACGCTTAGTGCTACCAGCGACCAGCTGCCGTGTCCAGCCTCCACTCGACGACCCAGTGACCGATCGCAGACCTTGCGCTGCCTATCCTCGCCATGTCAACAACCGCTGCTGGTCCGTCCGCCAAGCACGTTTGGTCACGTGCACTACTTGTTGAGCTCACGCGACAGGACTCTTGGGTGGTCAGTCGCCCGGAACGGTATCCATTGCTCTCTCGGCGAGTCGACCTCCACATATGCGTTTTTTTCTCGCGTGCTCTGTCGACAAATGACGTGTCTGCTGCACACGGCACACGAGAGACTCAGATCGACGTCGCACGACAAGATAAAAAGATGGCGCCATGAGCTTTTGACGTTCGGAATGGCCGACTGCCCATTCTCGATCCCCTTTGCTCACGCACGTTGTAGCCCCAGATAAACACGTACGACAGAGGTGGCCACTCGGCCGCCCTCGCTCTGTCCACTCGTTGTCGTCTTCTGCGGCTACTTTGGTAACGGTTTCCTGCAGGATACCACGTCTGCTTCCCAACAAACGAGGAGACCGACCAGTAGCTGACTAATAGCTGCACAAAGAGCATGTGCCGCGCGAAGCAGTAACACCTCTTGACGTTGCGTCATGCGCGTGGGTGCGAAAGAGAGAGAGAGAGAGAGAGAGAGAGAGAGAGAGAGAGAGAGAGTCGGTCCACTCGCTCTCTCTCGTGTCTGTGTATGTGTGTGTATCTCTTGCGATGCAGTCGGTATATGTATATGTGCCATCCGCACAAGATGTGTAATGGAGCACAAAGGCACACGAGCTCACGACGCCGTTTCAAAAGTAGGAAGCGATCGAGACGCGCTCGCAATGGCCACGCACGAGTGACCGTATGTGTTATATCTATACCTCTACCACACACACACACACACACACACACACACACACACACACACATACACATACACATACACACACACACCCTCTCAATGGAACGAAACGAGCTGTCTTGACGCTACCAGCCGCAGCGCTTTTCTCGACACGTCCTTCGAGTCTGCTCTCGATTGCAAAAAAACTTGTCTGACAACCGCGCGATGTCATAGCTTTGTGTATATGTTTGCGCGTGTGCGCGTGTGTGTGAGAGAGAGAGAGAGCTCTTTCTTCTCGCCACGCGCGCCACGCACGTTGTTCATCCGAACCGATCCATACCATTGCACCTCCCGACCATTTCCGCTTCGTCGACCAGAGACGGATCAATCAAAAGCGTCGGCCACAGAGCTCTCGAGCCGCATCGATCGAGCCGTAGCATTTCCACTCGGTGGACATCAGCCAAGCACATGGAGCTGTCGCTGCAAGACCAAGAAGACTGTCGCGACCTGACCATGCAACTTCTTGATCGTACGCTCTACGACTGCGAAGAACTCGGTCTGGGCACGACGCACACGGGGGGCCACGCCGACTTGGACAGCCGACGGTGGCGCAAGTTGCAGTCCACTGTCGACGTGTCGGTCTACGCCTACCGCACGCCCAGCAACGCCTGGCTCCCCGTCATGAACCGCAACGACTGGGAACAACCAGTGGCAATCGTTACGGTCGGGCAGCTCCACCGCTCGCTGGATGACCTGTTGCTGGCGTTCCTGACGCCGACCGTCGCGACGATTCGCCTTCGTGGACTGCTCATGGGCCGACGGCCGGAACAGGACATGGAGCTCGTGCCCATTGTGCGCGCGAGCGAATCGTCGCCGTTCCAGTTCTTAGGCGTCCTGCGCTTCGTCAATACGCAGCACTGGCCCTTGACAATGTTCGTCGGCCCGCGCGAGATGGTCCTCACGCTCGCAACGGGCGAAGTCGTGACGGCCAACGGCCGACGCTTTGGCTATGAGATTGTGCTGTCCGTGCCCGTGTGCCGGAAGCACGCGATGGCCCGCACCCAAGTGCTCGAGACCCGCGTCTTCTGGGAACAGCCCGACGGCACTGTCGGGATGTACAGCAAACTCATTGTCGACATTCGCAATCGACTGCCCGAGTCCGTGAAGCTCGGGATGCTCTGCCGGGGCGTCCTGCGCTTCTGGAAGTTCATTCCCCGGTGCATTGCGACAAAGAAGTTGCGCTGGTGCCTCAAGTACAAACGCGTGTTGTTTCCCGACGTGCCGAGTCGATTGCAAGTCATGGGCGGAGGAGGAGGAGGAGGCAGTGTACGAAGCACTTGTGGCGGCTGTGGGGCCAATCCATTGACACTCGTGGACGCAGTGAGTCCTCGGAAAAAAGGAGACGAGAACCGATGTGGACTCTGCGACGTGTGGCTCTGCTGGAAGTCGGCGTGCCGAACCGCCTGCCAAGTGATGGCAGTGGTTAGCGAAGGACCGCTCGTGTGCGAGAAAGAGCTGGCGCTGTGCCCGCGATGCATAGCGTTTGCTGCGAACGTCAGTGCCGTTACGGTCGCGCGCTCGGAGCTCTTTGACGCACGTTAGGCATTGATCTCTCAGTGGTAAAGTTGATAGAGATGTAGATAGATAGATATGCACACACAAAGACACACCGACACACGCAGAGACAGACGTGAACGACGAAGACGTACTATCCTCTGCAAGTTGTATTGAACTCACACTTTGTCCATCTGATTGCCTCAATGGGTTGTGGGTGCCCACTCGTGCGCGAGTTTGATCACTCACCCGCGTGCTCTCTTCTTTACGCGTTGTCCGTCTTCTTTCCATCCAACTGATCTCGTAGCGCTGAGGTATCAGATATCCAAAGCCTCATCTTTGCAGGCGCATGCCCCGACTGCAAAGGCTTTGCAAGGGAACGTAAAAGGCCGTTCGTGATCTCGCACGGCCGAGCGACCGAGCGACCGATCCCTCTTGACCCATTGCCGGTAGCATGTGCGATAGCAAAGGAAGACAAACAAACGTGCACGAGTCTTTCTTTGGAAAGTCGATCTTGGCACTTGGTGAGGTGTTCTCTCGGTCTCTTTTCGCCTGCAGTCGTCCAGTGAGTGTGCATTGATCGTTTGTAGGTCGTCACGCTGGCAAGGAATAACTGCTTCGTTCTCTCGTCTGAACCCGAGCTCCTGGATACTGCTACCCGGACGAGCAAGTGCATCCTGACGCGACCGGATTGCAGCAAATGGCCTCAACAAGTTCTTTGCTTAGAGAGGCATCATGTTCCGTAAGCAACTCGAAGATATTGAGGACAAAAAGAAAGTGGCAAGTGTTGCAGTTGCAGCACGGCGCAGCATTATCTGAACGAGTTGATTGCGTACGCGACATCGTCGAGCAGCACCACACAAGGACAACACGGGACCGAACGTTGTTATTGGCAAAGTAATGGGCGGACTTCACACAACCACTTTGTGCCAAGCCTTTAGCGTACAAGCATCTTGAGGAGCAACAAAGTAGGAGCAGCTGGAATGCTACGTTGAGATGCAGCAAGCACAGCTAAACCGAGGGAGGGCGCTTTCAGGCTTGCATAGCATCACGTGAGCTTATCGGTGAGCCACGTGAGCTGGAAGGAGCAAGGTACGGGTACCATCATGCATTCGTGATGCAAGAATATGCATTCTGACCACGGGGCTTGACTGAGGCAAGCGACTGGCGTTGTCTAGAACATGATCGGGACGGAATGGCGAGCAAGTGGGCACTGGCAAAGGGCATTTGCTAATATGGGGAGGAGAGTCTGCTCATGCAACGCCGCTGTATCGATGTGATACGCAATCGTCATTGGGACATACACTCAGTCGCTTGGGCATCCTCAATACGCGGTTCTCGAGGTCACCCCACCGTATGCATCCAGTCCGTGTCAAGACATTGACAGGATAAGCTGCCGAGTCAAGAAGAGACCATGCAGACATGGAAGCGACCTGCTGCTACCTGTCTAGACGCCTCAAGTATCTTTCCTGATACAGACTAAGCAATGGCGTATCGACGCGAGGCATCAGATATGATCTGCGTGTGCTCGAAACGTGAAAGCTGCCCAGAGATTGCGCTTGCTATGTCAAGAGAAGACGCCATAGTTATCGATTGTGACAATGATTTCAAGGTCCTGACTACAAGTTGTCTGCGTACCGGTGCTGCGTTGCTTCTGTGCTAAGGACGCCATGTGGCCATTAGAACTATTCAGGCAAGAGAACGACAACGCTACTGTTGGTGTACATGAGAGATAGGAGAGCTGTCTGGATAACTTGCGACTCGCTTGGCCTCACTCGTTCTTGGATCGGACTATAGCGCAGGAACGAACCTGCACGACAAGAAGTTGCCGCACTCGTTGGTGTGGGTGGATTCGCGATCTGCAGGTGTGCTGCTGGTTGAAACGGGGACAATCGTGCAAAGTCTTTGCACTCTTCGACACATCGAGTCGTACATGCCTCGCGAAGGTTCGACAAGACTGAAGCCACCACATGCCTTCTCCATCCATTCCTCGACACGGCTTTTACTGTCCTTTCACAGGATCAGCGCCACGTGTGTTCCTGTCTTTGATGGGCGCTGAGTGAGACCTCTTTGTCACATCACATGTGGGTCATCACTGTGTAGCCGAGAGATATCCTGCGGACGTATGGAAGTGATGACCTGTGCAGCTCGAACTCGGAAGCACTCGAGTGTACCTGTGGTTGAATGAGACGATAGCCGCGAGGTCATCGGCGTGGATGTCCAGTGCGTCGTCAATCTTGTTGCGTGTACTATGCACGAAAGCGTGTACCCGCCTTGTGAGCGCAAGACGACGCTCCTGGTTCTCTGTCGCCAAGATATGGCACGACCATGCAGACGACGTGTGTCTCGTAAGCAAGCAAGTACTGTCATCACCATCCACTTGTGATAGCACAGAGGCCTTCGCCGCTTGCAATGCAATCAAGACAGCAATTCCTCCAGTCGCGAGTGTCGTCAAGACCAGTCGGAAGCTCAATAGATTGGGTGCAGATTCCAGTACCCACCATTCCGCTTCGGATCCGTTCCGTGCCGCATCCTCGATTCCTGGTGTACAAGAAAGCACCGAGTCGTGATGGGATCGCTACAACGTATGCACTCGCTTGACCAGAGCACAAAGTCACGTAAAGTTAGTAATTGACACATCTAGCGACATGACTGCTCCGATACTTGTGGTGGTCAGCATCCATTGACCCCATCTTTCAGTCGACACACGTCCTGCCGCTCCATTCCCACCAGCAAACTCGACGCAGTGTGTAATCATTCGTTCGACTGTGCGTCAGCGCGTCTCGATTGTCTGTCCTTCAGCAGCGAGTCATTGCACGTCAAGACAGAGCAATCACCACCACTACCACCACCATGTTCGCAACTGCGCCCTCGAGCTGCTGCAGCTTTCCAGTCAGTCAGCTATCCCTGCGCAGTCTTCTTTGATGACTCAGGGGTGCAAAACGCAGGTCTAGAATGCCCGGTAGACAAACGGCAAGTGCCACTAGACTTTCGCTCGAGCTCTTTGACGGTTGTGCATGTGTTCTATCTACGTGGCGCTCGGATCGAATGACGTATCGGTTGCTCTGCTTGTAACTTCGCACGTCTCACGCATTCAGTTTGTTTACCGGCTTTTGGCCATAACGTACTGCGCATCACAAAGACGTAGCCGTCGCACGATCTGTCTTACCAGCTACGGTACCGTGCACTGCGCAAAGTATGTGCATCGCTCTGTCTCGCTCACTCTCTTCTTTGCTACCTCTGATACGAGCGTACCAGTCGTCTCTCCTCGAGAAGGATTTGTCATGCTCGTGTACCTTTGACCTGCATGGCCCAGCACCGTGTCGCAGAGCCCACCTACAGGCCGCCCATTGAATGCACTGGTCGATCGAAGCTAAGGGATCAGGACGTCTCGTCAACAACGCACGTCTCGGCAGCTTTGCACTCGCTCTGGACCCGAAGCCAACATAAGCTCAATCCGCTGCATCTGCATTGACGAACCCGGCGGAAAGGGCACGAACAACAGGACGTCAACTTGCGCACGAGACAAATGAGATCCGGAGGGATGCACAGCCAAGCGATCGCGGCATGTCTGAGCTCGCAACTTACATAAACGCAGCCGGCAGTCAGTCAGTCAATGCGCTGCAAGGCACACGAGCTGTCGAGAGCTGCTGAAAAGCTCAAACAACTCGCAGACAACGTCATCGTCGTCGTCGTAGGGGTTATCGATGAGCACGAGCGGATCGAGGACTCGATGACTCGCATCCTCGAGCTTCGCGCTGCACATCCACAGAGAGGCGTGCGAGAGGTAGTAGCAAGCGGCCTCTGCTATCGAGCCAGCCGCACTTGACCACATGCGACAAGCGGATCCATTTTCATGGCGTGCGTGCGTGCAAAGGCGACAAGATCAGACGATCCGCCGTTGCAGCAGCTGCTTTTCCGCCGCGACTTGCGAGGGACGCACGGGTACAGGCCGCACGTCCTGCCCACTCGTGGCTTGAATTGATTCGCGTAGTCAGGAGATGCAGCGTGGCGTACGGGATCGGTCGCACCTCTTTCTCTCTGATTAAATGGGATTGTCATGGGGTCGTCAAGTACGTAATGCGAAAGTCAAGTGACGATCCCGAGCGAGCAAACACGTGCGTTTCAAGCACGAGCTCTCATCAATGCGTTCCCTCTGTCTATCCAACTAACAATATCAAAAGCACTCGAGGAGCCCCAGTGCTTCACCTGATGGACTCATCACGTTGCAACAAGTCACCTCTCGAATCCCAAAGTCTCTGCTACCTGTGACTGTCAGCTGTCGTCAATTTACTCTATAGATCGACTGTCATATGATGAGTAGCAATGCCACTCTCACTTGGAGAAAAAGAGTCAGCAGCACTTGCTGACTCTTTCCAGCCACGTACGGACGCACGTACGTAGTAGTAGTAGTAGTAGTACTGCGCGTTGACAAGCGACATCTCATGTCTCGTCGTCCATTGCACGGGCCATGAGAGTCGAGTCGAGTAGCCAAAGGAGACCAAGAGGAAGAGAGAGTGTGAGTGGATAGACATAGAGACATAGAGACAAAGACAGAGAGTACGTGAATGTTGTACGTCTCTCTGCGTCGCCTCTCTCTTGTGCAGGAGCGGTCGAAGCCCAAGTGATTCGGGGCCGGCGCGTTCCCGCATTGATGGCGCTGCTCTGCACAGAGCGGTACGACGGGGGCCTCTGCCTTCCTCTCGCGCCGTGCCGTCCGTGGGATTCCGTGTCCACTGCCGCTGCAGACCAAATTTTAGCGCAAGTGATTGACGCGACCGCCAGCAAAAACAACGAGGACGGACGGACGAACGTACGAGCGACCGAACGCGCGCGAGAGCAGCGACTCGTGGACCTGTCCTCGTCCCGCGTCATTGTCCCGCGTAGCAGTTGCGTCGCACTCAATCGTCACGTCGGACACTCGTGTTGAAGCCATTTGGTCCAGTGCGCGATGGAGTTGTCCCGCGACGACTGCGACGTGTGCCACCGCGTGACGCAGGAGCTGTTGCACGAGGCGCTGCGCGACTGTGTCGAGCTCGGCATTGCAGCCACGCGGGACGCAAATCGAGCGCAGTTTGACAAGAAGCGGTGGAAAAAGCTCGAGACGGCTGCCCATGTGTCGGTCTACGCCGACCGTCGAGCCGACTCGGCGTGGCTGCCCATGATGCGGCGACCAGAGTGGGAAGGACCTGTGGCCGTGACGGCCGTTGGCCGCATGGAGTGCTCGCTGGACGACGTGCTGTTTGCCGTCATGACGCCGAACGCCGCCATGTTGAAGCTGCGGGCGTTCCTCATGGACCATCGCCTCGAGAAGAACTGTCAGCTCGTGCCGATTGAGACTCCGACGCAGGACGCGCCGTTTCGCTTCCTCGCGGCCACGCGGTTCGTGAACACGCACAACTGGCCGTTCACAATGTTCAAGAGTCCGCGCGAAATGATCCTCGCGATTGCAACGGGGTACACGACCAGTGCAAGTGGGAAGCCCTGTGCCTATGAACTCGCCCAGTCGGTCGAGCTCCCGTGCACTGGCGCGCGCGATCGCCTCATGTCGCGGTCCCGGGTGCTCCAAGCGCGTCTCTTTTGGGAACAGCCCGACGGCTCCATTGCAGTCTACTGCAAACTCGTAGTCGACGCACGGAATTGCCTCTCGGACGCCGTCAAGCAGACAACACTGTGTCAATCCGTGCTCCGGTTCTGGAAGTTTGTCCCGCGGAGCCTCGAGACGAAGAAGCTCTGGTGGTGTGTCAAGAACAAGCGGCGATTGATCCACGAGCTGCGGACCAACGCGCAGGCACAGGGTGCCGAGACGTTTGCCACGTGTCAAGTCAAGTCGCTGCGGTCGCACTGCAGCAAAGCTGGCGCTGCCCCGCGGTGTGAGTTCTGCGACAAAGAGCTCTGCGACGACCCAAAGTGCCGTCAGTCGTGTCAGCTCAAGATGATCCTCAGTAGCAACACAGGGATTCTCGAGCAGATGCTGACGCTGTGTCTCCGCTGTGCGGTCTTTGTGCGGAACCAGAACGCAGCGGACATTGCCCGCGCGCAGTTAGTGGAGATGGATCAGACGTCCTACGGCAGTGGCGCGTCGTTTACAAAGGTCGCACCTGCTTGGAACGAAGACGACTCGTCGTTAGCCTCTCGTGCATCGACGGAGTCGACGTAAAAAATACACACTGTTGGAACATGTTAGCGCCGCCTACGCAATGCTGTTTGAGAGAAAGGAGGACAAAGAGGATCAGCAAAGCACTTGCAAGTCGCTGTGGTGCAGTTGAGAGCCAGAAAGAACGCACACTGAAGACGTGCAGAGGAATGCCACGCACGACCCGTTGACGTCTCTCTACATCTATGAGGTGGACTAGTGGTATACGGGGTGCACACTAAGGTTACGGTCTATGTTTTCCGACGCGTCCCGCATTGTGTCAATACCAAAGATGGCCAAGATCACGAGTTTCATGCGTGTGACGAAGCAGCCCACAGCACATGGAAAGAAAGGGAATGCGTCGTCGCACCAAGTGCGTAAGCAGCAAGTGGGTGGAGGTACGATCGCGGACGGCGAGAAGACGATGAAGGAGGAGAGGGAAGCGACGGGACTGGACGAAGAAGAATCGAAGGCACACGTTCCGACTTTTATCTACCAAGTAACAACGACAAGTGTGCTTTGCTCTAAAGTCGCTTCTACCTGACGGATAGTCTCACTCCGTTCTTTGTCGCGTGTTGCTGTGTATTTTGTTGCTCAGACAGTCAAGTACCGGTCCAAACACGAGACGTATACAGTGTCTGAGCAGATGAAGACGATTATCGAGCACATCGAGGCAAGTGAGTGCGAACTCGACCATTGCATCTGTCGTCTTTGCTATCTCATTCTTCTGTTACAACTGACACTGTAGAGATACTACGACGTACCGGAGGATCTCGAACGGAACGCAAAGGTGCGACTGCGAAAAGTGCTGTAGCGTCCTCCAATGTCACGGCGCGGCATTCACTGTACCGTCGTCACCTGTGCTTCTGCTTTCTTTTGGTAGTTTGGTTGCCACAGCGGTTTGACGTACGAGAAGCGGGTGGCGAGAGCGTACTCGATGGGTCAGCTGACGTGCAAACTTGTGGACGAGGGCGAAGCTGCACCAGAGCCAATCTGCCTGACGTGTGCCAAAGTGGGACACACATACAAGAGCTGTCCGCAAGGCTTCTAGAGCGCGAGACAGCTTCGAGCTCGAGCTTAGCACGGGCTACGTGGAGAGCTGATACTGATCGCCAACCAGCTCGAGCTTGCCTGTAGTGACCAGCTTGCCAAGAATCAATGAGAGCCCAGAGATGGTCTTGGTGTCTACATAAGCGTATGTAAAACAAGAGCAACCGAGCGAGCTTTACCACAACCGTTCGTCAAGTATGGTGGCCATGCAGGTTACGTACATGGTTGGGTCCCACTTCGAGCAAACGTGGAAAGCATATTGTGGATGCGCTGGATACTCAGCGACCCAAAGTTGGACAGCATTCCCACGATGTAGCTTTCCAGCACCTTGAGGTCCTCTTCTGCTTGGGCGTCCGATGACACGGCGGTCTCGAGTTCTTCAACCGACGAGTTACCGTCGCACCGTGTGTCCTGAAAGGATGTGCTAGCAACTAGCTCTTTTTGCCCCAGTGTAAACGATACCAGTCCGCAATTTACCCACACAGACACATGCTTCAGTAGCAAATCATCGGAAATCTCGAGTTTTGCAGACAGCTCCTCCACAGTCCAACGGTCTGCGCAAAAACGCAAAAAAACGGTAAGCGACTACCTCGACGCGCGTAGAAACTGCAAGCAATACGCTGCGTGCTCACCTTTCTCTTCAAAATACAGCATGATCGTGGCTTGTAGCGGCGACACGGTAAACTCGCGCTGTTTGCCTTCGAGATCGATTGACAGCTGCACAAGATTCACAGAGCGTCATCAAACTGCCCTGCTGTCTATCGATCGCGTATCCCAGAAGCAATCGAGTCAACGCACCTGCACGGACCCGAGCGAGGAGTTCCAGTTCAATGACCGCGGGTTGCGCAAGACATGGTACGAATCCGTGAACGCAACAACCTTCTTCATCACAGTCGGATGCAGCACAAAATCTTCGCCTTGTAGTGGGGGCCAAAATTGTCGAGAAACGATCGTTGCATCAACATACGAGGATGGAGCTTCCGCCTGATCAGGTGGGATCACATCCCCTTCAGCTACTGCTGCCTTTGCAACTGTGTCCTCCATCGAAGATCGGACATTCACATTGAGCCGTTTCGAGTCCTCAATGTCACGGACCATGATCTCACATTGCTGCAAACTTTCCTCACCAAAACGCAGCTTCAGCAGTTCCAGTGTCTGCACGTCGCGATCCGTGTCATACTTCAAATTCTGCAGCAACTTATCGGCCAGCATCATCCGATACTCATTTACAAACAGCTCACGGCTTCCATAGATGTTGACCTACCACACACACAAACGTGTTGACACCAGAACTCATGCGCATTCAACACACAGAAACAGTCCTCGTACGAGAATCCTCAAAATGTCGTCGCTCCTTCGACTGCGCGACGTCTTGGACGGGTCTGCTTCAATCGGATCTGGCTCCCACGAGTCAGGCGATATATCCTAGTACAATCAGCACCACACACACACGCGAGAAGCTTGTCAGCAATCTTGTTCACTCGACGTCCGGCTCCACCACATTCTCACTTCATCGTCGTCGCTATCATCGACGTGTTGTATAATCTGCGTATTGTCACGACGAAGCTCGTTGAACAAGTCGCCGTGTTCGTCATCCGTGAGACTCTGGACAATGCACCGCACTGTGTCTTTGCGTTGCCTCAAGTACTGTCCAACACACCCAAAACAGAAGCAAAACCAGCCACAAAAATGCTCGTGAAGTGCCAAAAGAAAATACCCGACCAGCCAGTCTGCCTTTTTCCAGCCCATTCATCTAATAACGTACCGCTATCAGCGGTCCGCTCAACGCTTCCAGCAACACGCCTTTCGGGTCCAAGAGTCGGAACGCCTGTACCAATCACACCAAACACCACCAATGCGCACCTCGTCATACAACCAGCCAGCCACGTAGCATTCAACTGACTCTCCCTTTTCCCTCCTCCTCCCCCAGTCAGCCCCTCCACTCTTACGCACCTTAATGATCGACACGTAAATCTCCAGAATCGCCGACGTGTTGGCTCCCGGCTGGAGAAGTCGCTTCTGCAACGAGCTCCGGAAGCTCCGCACGAGCTCATCCTGTTGCTGCGTGCGCTCGAGACACTGCCGCAGATCGTCCAGCGCCGGCACACTGCGTCACACACACACATACACACACACAGCAATCAGTGCTTTGTACACTGCACAGCACAGAAAGAGTCGACCGCTTCACCTGTCGGGGAACTCCTTAATCAGCTCAAACAGCTGCGCAATGCGGAGCCGCGCAAACGCCTCGAGCACGTGCTGCGACAGCTTCTGGCGCCACGTCGTCCGGCCCGCAACGTCCGCCGCCGGCAGCAGCTCGTCCAGCCACGGCCACACCTCTGCGCGCACCTGCTGCTCCACGCGGCCCAGCAGCAGCTCGTCGTACACGTGCGCGCACGTCGACGCGACGGCTTTCTGCACGCGCGCGCGCAGCACGCGGCCGAGCGCCGACTCGGCCACGTGCAGCCACTCGAGCTGCTGCAGCGTCTGCTGTATCGGTCGCGAGTCGGCGCGCGCAGTCGCCTGCGTCTGCGAGAAGCAGACGACGAGCAGTGCCTCGAAGCGCTCGCGCGCGCGCGCGGTGTCAAACACGAGGCAACGGAAACTCGTGCGCAGTTGCTGCAACATTGGGCCAGTGCGCGTCGCCTTGTTACGGTGCAGCAACGGCCCCTGCGCGTCGTCGTCAAAGAGACTCGCGACCTGCACACAGTGCGCAAACGCATCTTCGGCAAACTGCAACGCCAGCGTGAGTTGCCGTGTGCAGCGACGGGCCATCTGGCGTCGACTGCGGCTGGTCGAGAGGCGACGGTGCTTCGGTGTTTCAGCCAATAGCGTGTCGCACAAGTGCCAAAACGGCGGCACGATCTCCAAACGCAGCCAGTGGCCGAGGCGTTGGCGCAACATTGCGCGCAACGGGTCCGCGCGGCCGTGCGCGACGGCAGACTGGATAACGCTGCAGAAATGATCCGTGACATCTTCGTGAGAGGCCGTTGCCGAATCTGCTGCAGCGACGTCGTCGCCATCGTCGTCGTCGAACGCAAAGAGCTTACGCCAGAGCACCTCGCGGTCAATGCGCAATCCGTGGTGCATTTTATGCACGTGCAACATTGACAATCATTCTGCAAACAGCGACAAATTGTGTGCGTCACACGACCGATCGTTGTGCGCCCGTAAATAGCAATGCAGGACGTCGGGGCTAAAAATAAGTGCGAGGTGGGAGACCCAACAGTCGGTACCAACTTGTACCCTGGCCAATCACATCACCAAGATGTCGCTCACCATATACACAACGTGATTGGCTGTTCTGCAAACTACATACTGACGTCAAACTTTATGTTTTATGCGTCACGCGAGAGCAGTATCGAGATTGAAAAGCCACGTGGCTGGTGCGGTTGACTGACTGCACGGGCCCCACACCGATCGGGCGACGCATTTGACAATTCGACAGCACAGCCGGCAGTCGCACATCTCTCGATCACTCACTCACTCCGTCAGTCAGTCAGTCAGTCGGTCAACCAGTCGCCTACTCGCTCTATTCTTTTCGCCAGCACAATGTCGAGCTCCATCATGACGATCCTCGAGCAAAACCCGACCGTGGGCATCGCAGTGGGCGGCGCGCTCGTGGTCGCAGCGGTTGGTCTGACCGCGGCAAAGGCGTTGGGTGGCGGTGAGAAAGCCGTGTCGGACAAGACCACGTCGGCGTCCAAGAAGAAGAAGAAGACCGCCAAGAGCGGCAAGAAGAAGCCGTCTGTTGCTCCAGTCGAGCAGAAGGAGCACAAGGATCACACGCCGGCCATTAACCTTGAAGAGTTTGTCGACGTACGTTGTCGATTGATCATTATTATCCAGTGGGTCGGCGAAGAGCTTGTCGCGATTTCGTACTTGTCGAGATTTCGGGATTGTTGAGATATCGGGACTGTCGATATTTTCGAAACTCAGGATGGGCTTTTTTGGCCTTTGTGGCCTTTTGGCCAAGTGTGACAATTGACATTGCTGACATTTGTATTGCTGATAACTTGTGTGTAAATTTGACAGGACGGTCCAGACTCTGAAGAGGAAGAGGCGATTCGTGCCGAGAAGCGCAAGCTGAAGCTCAAGCAAAAGAAGAAAAACGCCAAGGCCAAGCAGCGCGCTGCAGTGAGTAGCAGTCCTGGCAAATCGGCAGTAGAGGAGACGGACAAGGAGAAGGAGAAGAAGAGGGCTGCAGCAGCTGCAATCAAGAAGGACGTGGAAGACGGCTGGGAAACGGTCTTGAGCAAGAAGAAGAGCGTAAAGTCCAAGCAGCAGTAGAGCGTGGTGGGCCTTGACGAAGTTGCTGCCTCACACTTCATCAGCTGCGGCATGAGAGATGCCAGGCGGATCGGTCAGTCTTGGGCGTATCGCGGACATGCTGGGCTTTTTCCGATGTAGAGGTTGAGACAATGGCGGGCATTGTTTGCTGCTTGCCACTTCGTAGTTCTCGTACGCAAATGGAACGGTGAGAACAGAACGTGCCGATGGACGAGATGTTGCTGCGATCGGTCCTGCAAGCGGAGACGTTACTCGGCCACCACCATGTCACTTTGAACGCCAGAATATATCCGAGATTACCAGCAGGCCGAGATGGAACGATGAGGGGATAACCGCACAGGTGTTTGTTGAGTGAGTACTTGCGTCGACATTGCCAGATGCGCACCACTGGTGTACTCGGCTGACGTTGTCCTCTGCACCTCTGCTAGGGGCAGTCAGCCGCGCGGCAGTCGGTCTTACAGCTTGGACAACGGTTTGACTGCGTCGAACACGACCGGCAGCTTGGTGGCCAGCATCATATTGCCCTTGAGCTTGAGCTTGCCCTTCATGAAAGCCTGCAACAGCACGTCACATCAGCACTTGGCACCTCAGCCACTCAGCCACTTCCACGCACTTGTCGTACCTGCTGCGCATTTAGTTTCCCCATCGCAATGGCTACAAAGTCGGCGTCGCTGACTGTGATGACCACGTCAGCCTTCTTGACCTCTTCCGTCAGCGCTGGCACGGCGCTCTTGAGGTCCAAATGCCACTTGCCCGCACCTGGAATGTCGAACTGAATGACGCCCTTCACTTTCTTTGCCATCGCCGCTCCGTTTGCCGTCACGACGTCTCCAAGTAGACGGAAGATCTCTTTCGAGTTGAGGCTCTTCGTCGGCGTCGCTGGAGCGGTCGTAGACGCACCAGGTGCGACTTCAGGCTGACCTTTATCGTCCGAACTCTTCTTCTTCTCCTTCAGGTACTTGCGCGTAGCCGCCAGCACCACGTTCAGCTTCATGGCGTGTCCCATGTTGCCTTTGACCTTCACGAGCTTCTTCAGAAACGCCTAAAGCACATCGAACCACACACACCCACACATTTGCATGCAATGCACATTCACATCAACACAAGTGTACCCACGTCAATATGTGTACATGTGGTCGTATACAGAGCGATCCATTTGTCGCGTGTACCTGTTGTGGGTTCAATTGGTTGTCCATCATTTTGAGAAACGTATCTTCGGACAGAGTGATGGTCACGTCGGCCGCGTCTGCTGCTGCAGCTGCTGTCTTGACGCTGCCGTCGCCGGTCTTGAGGTCCACGAGCCACGCACCGGCGCCTTCGACCTCTATCTTAATGACGCTCTTGACACGGCGCACGAGGGACGGACCGTCGTGCTCGACGGCGTCGCGCATCGTGCGAAACAATTCCGCGGTACGGGATGGGGCCATTTGAGCCGGACGAAGAAGCGACGCGAAACGGGTGTTCTGCAACTACTACCTCACGTCCGACGTGACGGTTCGCTTGCGCTACTTCAGAAGAAAAGAAACGCGTAAGTTACGATCAATCTCATACCGTTTGCACGCGTGTCATTTGTCGTAAAAAACACCCTCACCTCGTAATCAAACCAATCAAACCAATCAAACGAATCAAACGACCGCGTCAAGCGTTGCCAATGATCGGACGCGCAGGTCCGGTGGCCGACCTGACGCGCGCGACGGGTCTGAACGCCGCCACGTTCGCGTCGCCCGCGCCGCTTGTGATCGTCTATGGAGGCGCCTCCACTGGCAAGAGTATGGCCGTCGCACAGGCCTTGCGGACCCACTCGTCGCCGCATACGCTCGTGGACTGCACAGCGCTGTACTCCGCCAAGGAATTGTACCGAGAAGCTGTGGCACAGCTGCACGAGGGCGCGACAATGGACTATGGACTGGGGGAAGAAGAGCTGGAGATTGCCATGGAGACATTGCCACCACGTGGTGGGACAGAGGCAGACGCTGATGTGAGCAGTGGAGCGCTGCAGGACGAGGAAGACGTTTGTTCGCTGAATTTCTTGAGCTTTTTCAAGACGCTCGACAAGTTTATGACGCAGACTGCAGCAGCAACAAAAAGAAGAGCTGCTGGTGCAAAGCCCACGCGGCAGATCCTGTACTTTGCACTGGATCACGTCGACAGGCTCTTGGATCGAGGACTGGGGGCACTGCTCACGTGTGTGTGCACGATGAACGACCAGATTGCCTACTTGCATGTGAGACGGACGGTATTGGCGCTCGGGTTGTGGGATGCCGTTGACTGCGTCGTGGGTGGGTGTTGCTAATGAGTGGATTTGCTCTGTTTGTGTCGGTTGAGTCGCGTACAGATGTTTGAGGACGCTCCGCCGTGGGAAGTGTGTGTGCTGCTGCTGACGCGGGGAATGTCGTTGGACTTTGATCGACTAGTGATGCCCTTTTATCCAGCGTATGTGCACTTCCCGCCGTACAAACCAGGTTCGCTATCGAGATGGCTCGTGTGCATTGGAAACTAGTGAGGTTGTTGATGTTTGTGCACGCGCGGACTTGACTTGTGGTGTTGAGGCAGGGCAGCTGGCGGACATTTTGGTGGAGCAGTTGGGTATGAAGGAAGCCAACGATATCTTTCACACTTGGCTCGTGCATCTGCACGGACTTTTGCCTCCTGCGCCGGATGGGGATTGGCTTGAGTTTCGAGCTGTGGTCGTGCATCTGCTACCAGAGGTTCGCGACTTGTTCTTACAGCCTGTACCAGGTTGTCAAGCTTCGAGGGTCAAGAGCAAACTGGAGCGTGACACCAAAGCCCTCGTGCAGGCGTTTCTTCAGACGCGGCGAAAAGACCTTTTTGGCTACCACAAAGTGTCAGGCGGTGGCGCCGGTGATTTATCCGAGCTGATTTCATGCACCAACCTGAGCCGAAACTGCCTACTGCTCGTGCTTGCAGGCTATCTGGCCTCGTTCAATCCGCAAGAAACTGACGTTCGCTTCCTCTCGTCTTCTGGCGGAATGCGTCGGAAAAAGCGTGCGAAGAAGGATGGCGAGGGGAAGCCAAATGCGGCACCAACTACCACTACTAGCAACAAGAAGCAGCACATCAGTCAGTTGCTCATCGGCCCACGGATCTTCACGTTGCAACGGCTCCTCGCCATTTACCTCAATCTTCGTGTGGAAGCCGAGGCAGGAATCGCTCTCTCCAACGACGAATCATGCTCTTCTGAAACACGGGAAGAAGTGTTTGCGCACGTACGTTTTTGACTCGAGTGTTCTGCAACTCATTAACGGCCTGCTGACAGTAAGTGCGTGCTTTCTATGTTTGTAGCTCGCGACCCTCGTGCGAATGCAGCTCTTCCAGCGAACCACACCCCCACACGTACTGGACAACATCAAGTTCCGCTGCCTTGCTGACGCCCGCTTTATCCAAGAAACTGCACGATATCTATCTTTTCCGCTAGACGCCTATCTAAATCGAGCCGCATAATGCTTGCTTGCTGCCGATGACTTGACGTGAGATGAGATGGACATGCCTTCTGTCGCATCTGGAATGGACGCACAATTCGTGCAATCTCTCCCACAGCAAGACGGCGTCTCTTTCGGATCCACGCATGATCCAGAGAATCGGTGAGGCAAGTCCATCATAGCAGTCGGGCCGGGGTGATCGGTTCTTGCTCCCGGAATAGTTCCTCCAGCACACCGTTCGCTTCGTACAAGAACGGATGCTTCAGCACCTCCTTCGGCGTCACCCGCTGATACGGGTCTTTTTCCATCATACGAGATATCTGTACGCCGATGACAACCCAAATAACCACAAAGTCAGTGTGGACGAACAGACAGTCCGTGAGACATTCGACGGGAGGACTTACCATGTCCTTTGCGTCGTCCGAAATGTTAGCCCATTCCGGTTCTTCAAACTCGTAGTCCACCCGCTTGTTCATCTGAATGAGCTCCTCGTCATTCACACCGAAAAAAGGCTCATAGCCGCACAACATCGTGTATGCCACAACGCCCGCAGAAAACATATCCACGCCGCATGGGTAGGCTTCACCTTTGCCTGCGCAAAGGATCTCTGGTGCCACGAATCCAGGCGTCCCGCATCTACAATCGTTCAGCCAATGCAATCAGACCCCTGTCGAAAGCTGCCATCGGAGCTATAAAGCAATCATTCGGCGGGAAACACACATGGACACTGCATGACCTACCGTCCCCTTAGCATTCCGTCTGGCTGGATAAACGCTGCCATGCCAAAGTCAGCTACTTTTATCACCGAGTACCTATCGCACAACAAAAAACAATTGTCACACAACACTCGATAACACACGCACAAACGCGGTAGCACGTACTCTCTGCCATCCGTCGTGCGTCCATAGTCCAGCGCTAGATTGGAGAGCTTCACATCTCGATGGGCCACGCCATTCCGATGACAGTAAGCAATCGCCTGTACGAGACTAGCAATCAAGAATGCAGCACGTGTCTCGTCCACAGCACTCTTCAGTGCAATCTCTTCATGGAGATCGCCGTCTCTCATTAGCTCCATCTCCATCACCAAGTAATCGCGCGTTTCGAACAGCGACTGAAGCCGAATCACGGGGCAGTACGAAGAGCCCGATCGGACCGTCAGCAAACTCTGCGTCAAGATTTCTCGCACCACCGTGTCTTCGCGTTCGGTATCGCGAGCAACCAGGTCCCAAAACGTTTTCTTCTCGATGATCTTGAGAGCGACATCCTCCAAGCCGCCCCATTGTTGTTTCCGGCGTGCACGGCGAACAACCGAAAAACGTCCTTTGCCCAGCTCACAGTTCTTTCTAGATGTTCCCGTGGGACTATCTGGACTGAGGTCGAACAGGTCGTCGATGTTCAGCTTAGTTGCTCGCGTTATCATCTCTCTCCACTGCACCGCATCCGTCTCGGAATCGAACTGAAGCCACACCTCGTTGCATTCCGACAATGCTGATGAGCGGCTGTTGTACTTCAGCACAAAACCAGCCGTACTTTGCTGTTTCAAATACACAGATCCCTCCGATAGATTGGCATGACCCACTGGACGACTCGATTCGTTCGCATCCAAGTACTCCCAGAGATTATTGCGGTACAAAGACATGTAGCGCTTGCACCATTTTCGTCCTTGCACTTTCACGTGAGCCCAACCTGTGCGAGCTATTCTAGTCGAATCGGCTGCCGGTGAGAAGTAGGAACGATGTTTGTCTCCCCTTCCTAGCTCGCGCTGCTGCTCAAACACGTCGAAAGGCAGTTCAGTTGCCAAGCACGATAACAACCAGGAGTCAGCACTCCAAGAGTGACCACGACCCCCTGCATTCGGCACCGCAAGTTTTCCTAAGATCGGTGCAATGTCGTCATTAGCCATCGAGTTGTCTTCGGCAATCACGTTCATCCCAAATGGTGACGGCCGGTCCATCTGCTGCAAGGCGTTGCCGGATGGCTTCATGCTCGCAAAATAATTGCCACCGTGAACGCTCACTTCGTCGCCCAAGAAGGCGTGCGTGCTGTTGGACATGTTGCTGTTGTGAATCGTCGTATAACACTTCCGCAGCACTGTGTCGACGCCAGACCCTCCAGACGCTACCGCAGGTGTCGAAGGGAAAAGCGCGCTTTCCAACAATGGACACTCTACCGTTATGTGGTTGCCGCTACAGTTTGCGCATACATGCGGGTCCGTGCGACGACTGTTCGCGCGTGGTCGCTCTTCCAAACAAGGACTCGTTGGCAGCGCGAGATTCGGAATGTTGCCATCTCCATCGGGATGGAGTGACGAGTGCATTCCATTCGGCACCACAGGCGAGCGTATCTTGAGCTTCTCCTCAGATGTCAACGAATGCGCCCGGTGTCGGCCAGCGGCGGCAACTGCAGCTGCTACAACGGCCTGGTTTGACTTCTTGGTCGCGTCTTCTTCAGACTCGATTGTGGTGCCTATACGAAGCAGCGGGGCCGTGTCGTCATCATCCGAGTCCGAAGTGTCCAGCTTCTTACGCGCATCGATATTGTGCACACTGAGTACAAAAACGCATTCATATCGCACACACAACATGTGAGCGTGTCTCGCCGTTGCGCTCGAGCACGAAAACTAATGCAAGATCATCCGGCTCATGAATACCACACAAGGATCTGTACCTGACGTCCAGTTCGCTGTGGATACTGTTTACCATAAGCCGTTGCAGCAGCATATCCATCTGCAGTTCCCATGGCTTGTTCGGGCTAAACTCGCCAGCCTTCTGCAGCGAACACACCGTGTCGCTACTGCTCGCATTTCCATCGTCGCTTTTCACACTCTTTTGCCTCGTCGACCGATGTGACGTCGTGGACAGATCCGCGTCATCTGCACTCGTAGACGCTCCACTGCTACTCCCGCCGTGTTTCTCCATGTGCTACATGCATCCACAAGACAAGACACACCACACACACATTCAGTCTCTCACTGCACACGAAAACACCACCACCACTCTCCTTCCTACTTAGCAGCACACAAAGGAAGCAACCACAACCACAAAACCGCAAGAACCTCACCGTGTGAATCTTGACAGCCGTGTGGGTCGCCAAGTTGCCCTTCTTGTGGATGAGCTTAAAGCAGCTCACGCAGTACGCGTCGTGGCAGCACCCGTTGCAGCTCAAACTGGCGCTATGGAGCTCGCAATAGACACACAGCGGCCGCAGCTCTTCTGTCCCGTGCTTTGTGTCCCCCGCGTCGAGCTCGTCGCCCGCGTTGGAGCGGTATCGCCCCTGCATGAACCAGAGCCGCCAGCTCGTGTTCTCCAACCGCGTGGCTTCGTCCACAAAGCGCCGCATGGTGCTAAACGACTGCCACGACTTCTTGGCGGCCTGTTCAAAGACCGCTACGTCTTCAATCATCGCAGCGACTTGGCGCCTGTTGTACGGCTTCGTGCGCTGGAGCAGCTGCTGTAGTGGAGATGGTGACTAGCGCTGCGCAGTGTCGAGAGGAAGGCGAGATGACCGACGGGGTGCGTCCACGGCATTCGACGCGTGAGAAAAGGAGCTCGTTGTCGGTTTTCTTGCTCTGTGTAATTGCTGAGACGATACCTGTGGAACTTGATACGCTCTGAAGTAAGCGAAACCAGTCGCGCGAACACAATGTGTCGCATAGCGTCGAGGCGACTGTCGGCGGTAGGACGTACATTCATTCACCTCACGACCGAAAGGAACTGTGTTGAAATAGCTTGAAAAACACATGTCACGCGTGGCCCACGTGAATGATTGGCGCATGACGGTCTTCGTTTCGCTACGATGGGGCGACGGGCCAATCCCCTGAATAGTCATAGCCACCACGAACAAACCGGGAAAAGCACGTACTGTGTGTGTGGGCGAGCTGTTCGGTCGCATGGGCAGCAGACGCATGACAGTGGCGGCACCACACGTTACCAGGCGGGGAGGGCGCGAGAAGAACGAGGCCGGCCGTGACATCACTCGCCGAGAGGCCGCCGCGTGGGCGGCAGATGGCGTTCCGTCTGCGCTCTGCTTCAAGGCACTGCGCCACTCGCTGCGCGTCCAGAACTTGTACGGCGAGCTCATCTTTGCCGTGCCGGCCTTCTTGTCGTGCGACGAGTGCCAGCGGGTTCGCTCGTTTGCCGACGAAGGCGCATTTGAGCGCGTGACGCAACGGGCCAGTCGAGAGTACGCGTTCAGGGACAACGATCGGCTGTTGCTGCGGCTTCCGGCGTTCGCAGAGCTGCTCTGGAAGCGCCTGCAGCCACACGTTCCTGTCGAGTACGAAGGCATGCATGCCGCCGGGTTGAACCCCGCCATTCGCTTCTATCGCTACCACAAGGGACAGCGGTTTGGCTGCCACGTTGACCAAAGTGACGTGGACCGACGAACGGGCTACCACAGCCGCTTCACTGTGCTCGTGTACCTGAACGACTCGACGGACTCAGACTTGCAGGGCGGCAGCACCGTCTTTTATGCGAACGAAGCTGGGGCGAAGGAAGAGCAGGTGGTGCTGGACGTCGTTCCACAGACGGGGTCAGCACTCGTACATGGTCGTGGAGATCGCTGTCTACTGCATGAAGGGGCTCTGGTCACTCGAGGAGTGAAGTACTTGCTGCGCACCGACGTCATGTACTCTCAGACAAGGAAGTAGGCCGTGCACTTGCTGGACGTTCCTAGTATCGGAACTGCGCAATGTTCGTTAGCCGCTGCTAGAAGAAGACATGAGCAGGAGGAAAATGGTGGTTGAATATAATCGACAACACTGCATATGTACACGTAAAAGGTGTTGATGGACTCTTGATTGGGACCGCCGATCCGAGTGTTAACAACCTCCTAGCTCTCGTAGTCTTCTCGCAAGAGCGTGGACAAAAGGGTTGTTCTGGCAATACACGCACAATCAGTATGTCAGAAGATCTCACGCACATGAAATACAACAGGTGCGTACCTCGATATCGCCCACAATGGCTAGCACTTTGCCTAGTGTCTGTCGAGCAACGTCCTTGCTGTCTGTCGCTTCCGGCTGCTCCACGTAGTGAGCAAGATGTAAACACAGCACCACTAGCATATTCTCCACAATGAACGCCAAGCTGTCGGCGTGATATTCCAGTACGTTCTCTAGTGCTAAAGTATCCGATGGATGCTCACGCTGGCCAAGGGGTAGCTGCGACGATAGCGAAGAAGGAACGGATGCCGACGCAGCTTCATTCTTCAAAGCAGTAAGCGCACCGACAAGCTGCTTGCTCGTTTCCAGAGCGAATACGACTGAGTCGAACCGCGCTACGAACTCATTGACTGACGGCGCAAGAGTCCACAATGGATCCGTTGCTGCCGCAAACGCGCGCGGGCCCACCGAGGACATGGACGGGAACTGATTGTTGTTCTGCAGCGGCGTCTTGTCCGAGATCGACAAAAGCGGAGCTGCGCGACCAGCGCCTTCCTCACTCACTGCACGCATCGTGCGGCTTGCGCAGAAAGCAGCGGCATTGCACAAGATCATCCGAGACGCGTACAATTTCTCTTCGTCAAGTAAGGACATGTGCAGGAGACTGACGCTGCCACTGGACTGTATGGCTGCAGCATCGCACTGCTCCAAGAGTCTGTCTCGCCAGTCCACAGAAGAGACCCGCTGAATCGCAGCATCGCACGGTTCCTCCGCAAAGCCCGCAGCTTTGTTAGTCCACCATGAAACGCCATTGCTGTCAACCATGCTGTCACCGTCGTCATTGGGAGGCACAAGCTCCGCACTAAACTGCAGGAAGACCTGGAGAATCTGCTGTGATATTTTTTCCCACTTGGCCGTCGCCAACGTTTGCTGGCACAGATCAGGGAATTGGGTCACGTAGCGAAAGACAAATGTCACGTAGGATAGCTCACGAAGAAGGTTCACGGAAATCGGCTGCGACTGCAAATTGCTGGAGCACAGCTTCAGTGCTGATGTACACAGCTTCCGGTTCTTGTTTACAAAGTACAGCACTTGGCTGGCAATTGCGCGGTTCTTGGGCAATGAGGCACAGCTTGCGCTCAACAGACGCGCAACGGGAAGCCATTTACGAAAGTACAGATCCTCAACGCGCTGGAAAAAGGTCATGGACGCAGCAGCGTCTTGCTGCTGGTTCTGAGCAAAATACTGGGGTCGATGTGTTGGTAGGTTGCGAGCGTCAGTTAGCACACGGATCAAGCCACCTTCCAGCAGAGCTACTGCTCCTTCTTGTGTTTCAGTAACCCGTGCGAAAAGTGACAAAAAGCACTCGTACATCGTACCAACGGTCGAAGCATCCATGCCCTGCGGAAGCACACTACTTTTCACCATGGATGAATTGTCATCGTTACGCTCGAAAGCTACCGCGTCCATATCACTCAGCTTCTTGAATATGTCAATGAAGTGTAACAGGTAGCCACGCTCACGAAAGATTGGAACGAGCGAGGAGTCGTGATCAAAAGCAATCAAAGACTCTAGCGCTGACACTGCAAGTGCCATGCTGAGCGTATCTTCACCATCACTTGCGTCCCTGCAGATAAGATCAACGATCTGGTTGGTAAGTAAATGCCGAACACGCTGTTTCTGGCTTCCTGTAGCACTTGTGTGGCCATACTTTGACGAAGCCGACTCTTGCAAGGCATGGCTTGGCAACATGTGCAGCACGTGTACAACGCAAGAGTACAACAGTGTGCGAGAGTTGCGCGCAGCCGACGGATTTCCCGTCGACGCAGCACTGCTGTGCACGGAACGAAACAGCAGTTCCAGGTAGCTCACGTTTTGACCATAACGGCTCTCTGCTCGAGCCGATGGCCAGCTTCCTTCCTCGATGTAGCTGAGCTGCGAGAACAGTATCAAAGCGATCCTGGATACAATCTCGAACAACTGAGCAGAAACACCTGCTTTCTTGGTCAACTTACCCAGCACGGCTGTTACAATACTGTTCAATAGTTCCAACCGCACTTCCGCTGTCGCGATACCGTTCGGCCCCTGCCACAAAACTGGAGTCTCGAGCCCTTCTTGTCCCCGAGGTAATGTCAGGTAGTCCAGCACAATCACTTCCATAAGCTCTCGCAACGAGTTCAGAGCGTGGCTTTCAGCAGCGATTCGCTCAGAATAAATGTTCCACTGCACGGCCCATTGAATAAACCTCTCCGCAGCTGCTTCCACACTGTTTTGGCTGCTGTTACTGCTTGCGCCGTCGCCATTCACGCGAAATCGTTTGCTCGATGATGAGTAGAGATCATTCACCCCGTCGTCGGTTGCCGTCAAATCCAGCGACTGAATCGCTTGACAAAACCGCTCAACATCAATTTTAAGCCACTTGTAATAGCAACCTTTCTCCACAGCCAACGTCGCCTGTTCAGCCAAAGCCACAACCTGCTGGTTTGTTGGCACCGGTGGCGGCATGATGTGGAACGAACACTCATCTAGCTGCTGAACCAGCAGCATTTGTTCAATCGATCGATGGTCGTCGTGGCTGCCGACGGGCACGGATAGCAACTGTCCTATCAGCTTGCTAACCTTCTTCATATGCGCAGGTTCTTTGTGTAACCCCACGTGCAGGTACACTGCGAGCGTCTTAAAAAACCACCCGCGCATGTTCAGTTCAGCAATACTAGCAGCAGCCGTCTTCCTCTCCGCTACATGATAAACGCGACTGAACAACTGGATCTGCGAAACAAAGTAATCAGATGGAACGCTTTCCAAGGCAGCGATAGTGTTCGAAGACGAAAACTCCTGCGTAACGAGCTTGTGCAAAACATGGTTACAACGCTCCGCCAACTCCGGCGTCTCCAAGCCAAAGTCTGCGCTGGATACGAGCGTAATTACGGCGGCAAGACCAGTCTTCATGTAAGAAGTTGGCGCCGTTATGCCTTTTGGGTCTCCATGCTGCTTGACATTGCCCAGCAGAAGATGTGCCAAGTTGGGTGCCGGCTTGCTCAAATTTTCAAGAAGTAGATCCAAGATGGTAGCACGAATAAGGGGCGGAGGCGTTTCTTGAACAAACAGCTGGAACGGCGAAGATATTGTGCGGCTATCTTGCTGTTGCTGCCTACTTGATGGCAGAGTGCCAGATCCGGATCCACCATTGTCGTGCGGATCGTCGCTAAGTGACATGTCGCTCTCAACTCGCTTGATTTCGTCGTCGTCGTACACGCTCAACAGACGGTTCATGTAGCCGATCATGATATCTGCGCTTGCTCCGCTATCGATGAGCACATCGACGAGGTCCGATCCACTCATGCGCGCACTGATGAGACGCAAAATGACCGCTGACAGGTACGGAATGTGTACTGACTTTGTATACTTGATGTACTTGACAATGTTTACAAAGTCGGACCGGTGGCGGCACAAAATGACGTGCATCATTTCCACTTGAAGCCGGTGTGAAAGCTGACGGTTGAGATCCGAGTTCACGAACTGAGCATCCTTTTCCAGCACCAACACCACAATCTCAAGCGCATGCTGCACACACCGTTCTCGCAGGGCGGCGACCACTGTAGTCTTGGTCAGGTATGTGTCACTGGGTCTCTTTGATACGTCAATCACAAAGTTCAAGGAGCCGTGTCTGGCTTCAGTCTCGCGCTTGACAATGTCAAGACAGTAGAAGAATGCGTGCTCGAGATGCAAATCGGTCGATGTGTTTTCCAAATTCTCTACTCCTCCATCTCCAGATACGATGGACAGCATTTTCTTCAGCAAAGGACTGCTCGACAAGAATCGAGCGAGCATCTGGTACGATAAGCTGCCCTCAGCGGATGATGTGTCCGCGTGCCGTAGGATTTTCTTGAAGACCGCGAGTGTTCCATTCACTAGCGCCCACTTTTCTTCTTCTCGCTCATACTTTCGCAAATCAAACTTCAAAAACACGTGTTCGAGCAAAAACTCAAAGTAAAACTGGATCGCTGCAACGCGGCCGTCACCTTCGAACGACTTCCACGCGTGAGGATTCCCAAACAATTCGTACAACAGCGTGACAAATCCTCTCGTTGCCGGGTACGTCCTACTCATCGACTCGTAGTGCTCCAGTTCATAACTGATATCCTGGTTGCCATATGCCGACGTATCCCCCGTCGTACGCAAAATTTGCAACGCGTCAACCTGACGCCATACGAATGGTGCAATGTCTGGCACCCGCGCGAACACAGCGAGTGTCTTCATAATCGAGCCCTTGAGCGAACTGGGGATCCGACACTGGAGAAAAGCTACAAACGTTGGAATTGGAGACCAGTCGTGGTTGTGAAAGAAGATTAATGCCAACTGGGGATCCGAGATCACTTCCTGAATCAGTTGCTGGATGGTTTCTAACGCCTCCAACTCCTTCGGCCGAATGAAGCGAGGACCAGTTCCAGCATGACTCACACTTTGGAACGTACTTCCATCGATCCCAACTCCCTGCGTGACACCGACGGGCATGAGAGGTGCATATCCAGCCGGTTTCTCAGCATCAGTAAGCAATCGCTGATACTTTGCCATGACGGAAAAAAACTGATCCCAACTAAGTTGCGGTGGGTTTCGCTTAATGTGGTGGAATGCCTGTTGGGCACACTCGGGTCCGCTAGCAGCGGACGCCACTAATCGCATGTATGCAGGTAGACAGCCGGGGGTCTTGAGCGCAGCATCACGGCAAGCGATCAAGAAAGCAAGGCAGCTACCACCATCGACACTGTGTGACTGTGACTCAGACGGTTGCAGATCATCTCCTGCGTTGCTTTCGTTGCTGCTGTGGAAATCAAATTCGTCATTCGGTCCACGCCAGAACGAGCAGCAGAAGTCAGTGTTGTGAGCGCACAGCGCCACCGCAAAGCCAACGACGTCCTCGAGACAGTCGCCAATCCAGGCCACTACTTCACCGTCACTTTCGGCATGCATAGCAGCAAGGGCTGCCTTGTCAGCAACTGTGGGGACGTCAATCATCATCTTGGACGAGTACGTGCGAAACAATAGCTCCAGATTCTGCTCGTAAATGCTGTACAACCGCAAGTCCTGCTTTCGATCAGGCAAGTATTTCAAATGCACTTCAACCAGTGTGTGGAAAACGCGCCCTTGGACCGCTTTCTTGACCACATGGGGCGCAGCTTCGGCTTCAGCAAACGTGACATTGCTGCTACTACTGTTGCTATCGTCATTGCCTGCAAGGAACCCAGCCCATGCGAGCATCGCAACGCTCTGGAAGCTCTTCTGTTCCCAATCTTCTTCAAACAGAAGGTGGTGTAGTGCCGCTACCACAGGAGCATGCTCACGTCGACACAACGCCCTGCCACTGTCCATATACCCTGACTCGCGGTTCCGCTTCCTCGTTTTCTGGAGCAGCACGACAAATAGCGCCATCTGGAGCGCAGTGATTGTCTGCAGCATACACGACACTTGTCGCACTGCTCCTTCCGGCGACGTGCCAGCAAGTGATCCCCCTTCAAACAACTGCGAAAACGACGAGAGGTTCACGATATGCGGTGACACCTTCGCGACAACAGGTTTCAGCCGTCCACACAGCGTCTGCAGCAGTTTCGCCAGCTCTTGCACTTCTTGTGCTTGCATGACTGTACTCGACACGACCAAGACGAGACAATCGGCCACGAGCGTGTGCCAGTAGCTCACGCTCTGTTCCATCCTGGACACTTGTGCAAGTGTGACCAAGTCCTTGTCGAACGCACGAATCAAATTCGACACCAGCTCTTCGGTCAATAGTTTGTCCGAGAGCGACAGCAGAAACTGCGCGCGGTGCTTGTCCCAGTGCGTCTCGAGCCGCAGTCGCAAGAGCTCCTTCAGTACGTGCAGTTTGTACTCCATCTCGGACGTCAGCAAGTACCGCGCGGCGCTCGGGACCGAGTCAGCGATCGCGCCAGGCGGCAGCTGGTCGGCGCGCTCCACCCACTCGCGCTGTTGCTGCTCACTGGCCAGCAACCAGAACGCCACGCACGTCTTCTCGCTCACGTGGAACTCGTCGCTGAGCTTACAGATCTCCTGCTGAATGAGCGGCGACACGTCCACGTGCTTACCGCCCACGGTCACTGTGTTGGCCTGCAGCGCCGCGCGCTCCGAGGCACTGGGCGGGGCCTGCGCGAGTGGCTGCAGCAGCTCCGGCGCAGCGGCCGCCATGTCGGCCATGAACGCGGCCGCGTCTTCTTCGTCCGTCGTCTGTCCAGCAAAGGCCAGCAGGTCCTGGTGCAGCTGCCGGAACCGCAGGGCCGGCGCCTGTGCGAGCGCCAAACTCGCGCTCATGGCCGTCGCCTGTAGTGGTTGCGGTTGCTGTGGTCGTGATTGGATTTGAAATGGACGGGTCTGACCCGTGGCGCGGACTGCTTTCGTACTTAAGACGATCGAAACGACCATCACTCTGACGACCGGAAACCAAAGGAAACATGGCGAGTCTGCACTGGCGGACGCGGCGGCGGGCGGCGGGCGCGTGGCCCCTGAGCGTCCTCGCGCTGTCCACAATGTGGCACTGCACGACCAAGTGTCTTGCAGACGCGGCGCTCGTCACTGGACCATCGTCTACCTTTCGTATCGACCACGACACCAAGATCCCAGACATTTTCAAGTGCTCGGACATGCACTTTATTGGCTCGTTTAACGAATATTACGTGACCTGTGCGCTAGATGTACCAGAGCAAGCGTCGATCAAGCTGCTGGAAATTGTGAATGTGACACTAGACAGCTCGGACCTCTCGCCTCTGCGTGGCGTCCACGCAGAACTGACGTTCAAGCTCAACTCGAGCCTCGCGGCCGTGTCGATCCGCAACAGCCACGTGCGAGCCAGCGCCGTGGAGATCGACGCTGCCAACATCACGATCGACAGCCACTCTGTAGTGAACGTGACCGCGCGAGGACTAAAGTTCGGGCCCGGGTACAACTCGTGGAGCGCGATGGGCGGCAGTTATGGCGGAATTGGCGGCGCGTCCCTCACAGCACGATACTCTGATTGTGACAACGTGCCGCCAAATGACTTTTTCAGAGCTATTGGGGACGTTGGAGCCGACATGGCCAACTTTCGAGGCTATGGCAGTGGAGGCGGCAATGAGAAAAGTCGTGGCGGCGGACGGATCCGCTTGGTGGCAGACAGCAACGTCGCGATTGACGGAAAGCTCGTGGCTAGTGGAGGCGATGCATGTACAGACTGCTACGACAGTGCTGGTGCAGGCGGCAGTGTTGTTGTGGTCGCAAAGGGACGGATCTATGGCAATGGAACCGTGCAGGCAGACGGTGGGGAGCCGAGCAAGTTCAGTGGTGATGGATTTGTGGGCGGCGGTGGAGGAGGCGGTGGTGGTGGACGAATTGTGCTGGATTCGGCAAACGGAGAAGAACTGGAGCCAGGGCAGGTGTCTGCGTACGGTGGTGGCGGTTTGACTGCTGCTACAAATGACGGAATAGGGTGGTGTCAGTTGGGAGGTGATGGGACTATATTGAGGGCTCAGCATACGGCGGAGCAGATTGTCAAACGTGGCAGAAGGCTTAAGCATGAAACTGGTAGTCAAGCTGTTGTAAGTACGTTGCTTGTGCGAGGTAGCCGCTTGGCTCATGTAGGGCCTGTGAGGCGCATTCAGATTTACGGATGTACACCGATGTTTGAGCAAACACCTCGAGGTGGTCGATTTTTGCCAGAATCGCTTGTGCACATGTTGGTAAACGGGGGCGCTACAGTATGTGCGTCGGTGATTGAGCTGAAGGTATGTGCAGTCATTGTGTTTGTGAAAGTGTCGGTCACCTGACTATGGCAATGTGGTGCTCTCAGGACAGCATTGGAGGCATCGAGAGTACGATTGAAGTAAGAAGCTGAATCGTACCAGTCACGCTTTAGCTACGTAAGATTCGAATGTCGCTGACGTCTGCGATATCGTTGTTGTTCGATTGACAGTTAGACTCTGGGTCGGAGCTAAATGCTCTTGGCCGTGGACGAAGCATCCAGCTATCGGCATCGCAAGTGACGATTCAGGCATGGACGAAGTGCACCATATGAATCTAGTTGACAAAAGCCTTGCGCGTGGAGTGGCTGAAAGTAATGTTGTGTACTGTTGTGATTGAGCAGGGCTACGTTGGGCCCTCGTTGGCGCACGAGCAGAATCTGTTCAGTTTGGCACTGCGTGGAGTTGACATTTCCTTCTCCGATGCTTTGGCAATGCTGCATGACCTCGAAGTCGATGCTCGCGGTAGGCTTTCCATTGACAAGTTTTCTGTTCTCAACTTCGGAGGGCAAGTAAGTATCCGGACAGATGCTTCGGCCCAGATAGACGGTTTTCTGAAGCCTTCAGGCACCTCAATTGAGCTTGTACAGGGTGGTGACGCAGCACGCATTCCTTCGATAAGCGTGACGAGCAAACTGGATGTCGAGTTTTGCCCGCAAGTTGTGGAGATGGGCCCGATCCAGCTGCAGATCGCGGCCAAGGGCTCGGCTGTACTGGATATGCCATTCGACACCCCATTCCTGAAACTGCTAGTATCGGCTGTAAATGTGTCCATCGCCAACCTGAACAGTGGTCCAGTTAGGGAATGCAGGCGTATCGAGCATCAAGCAGATGCGTCTGCTTGCACAGCTTTACGCACGTCGAATGTTGACGACCAGCCATACTTGGTCAGTGTTTTCGCGTCGGAGAGTGCTACGTTGGGCAACATCTCGGCTGGATCGATGATTCTGTGTAGCAGCAGTAACATGACGATCGGGGGTATGGTAACGAGCTCACGACTTGGATGTGGTTCCGGCGTAGGTCCTGGCAAGAGTAAAATCGTTGGTGAAGCTAGCGGTGGAGCAGGTCATGGTGGAAGAGGTGGCAATGTGTTGCCGGGAAGTATTGGAGGCGGTGCTGCATATGAAGTTCCGGCCGATTTTGAGATGCACCAGGACGCTTTGTTGACGACAATGAATTTCGGCGAAGGCTGGCCAGTTTGGCCTGGTAGTGGGGCTGCGAGTGGAGACACACTGCGTCAAGTTATTGGAGGTAGTGGAGGTGGGCTTATCTACATCGGGGTTACGAACCTAAACCTAACTAAAGCAGCGTCCGTGTCAGCGCGGGGTGGGATCGGCTCGATGGGTGGTGGCGGTGGATCTGGCGGATCCCTCACACTTTTCATTGCAGACATCGCAGGCGGAGGCACCATTGACTTGGCCGGAGGTTCTGTTCCAGTACCTGTGATGTATGCTGCCGAAAGCAAGGCGACAAATGAGTCATCGATCTGGAATCCTCATGTCACTCCGGGTGATTTTGCAAACGCCGCCGGTAAGATAGGTGGTGGAGGGGGCGGCGGAATCGTTCGCGTCACATATGTGGATACAGCAGATAATTCGAGCGCTGGTAATGGGGAAACGTTTGTGAAAGACGGGGGTCGCATTGTCGTTGACGGAGGTGAAAGCGTAGGAGGCGAAAATGGCGGTGCAGGTGTTTCGATTGGTGTTAACTGCTATCCAGGGCGTGGAGGTGTCTTTTGCTTGCCATGTCCCGAAGGCAGCCATAGCCCAGACCGCTTTTCGAAATGCTTGCCATGTGGCCCAGGCACTTGTTCCAGTCGTGCGGGATCCGAAAGGTGCGACGCATGTTCAATTGGTCACTTTAATTCGGACTTCGGAAAAAAAGAGTGTCAGCCGTGTCCGTTGGGATCATTCGGTGCAAAAGCGGGTTTGAAGAAGTGTGAGATGTGTCCACCTGGATCATTTGCCGGATCGACGGGCAGCAACGAGTGCTTACTCTGCCCTGTAGGTGACATCGCTGCTTCGTCAGGCAGTGCTAATTGCACAAGATGTGGAATCGGAGAGACGACTGCAAAAGCTGGTGCAACTACCTGTGCTGGCTGCACGAACAAACCTGTTCACTCCGAGTTCAACATGCCCGGCAACTGCTCCTATGCGTGCTCCAAGGGACGCAACGGACTTGACTGCTTGACGCCTTTTGAGCATTTAGTAAAACCTATTGGCGGTCCACTGGGTTTTGCGCTTGTCGTGTTTGCTGCCACCAGCCTTATCTTCTGCGTCTGGGGGTTCATTTCGTACTGGAGCTCTAGGTTGGAGTTACACCGTTACGCCCAGTACAGGGCGAAAAGGTTGCGAGATGAACTGTCGCTCAAGACGTTGACGAAAATGCTGACTCCTCGGCTGACGGACCAAGACCTGAATGCTCACGTTGCTCGCTTGTACTTCACCGGCGACAACCATGTCAAAAGTGCTTGGCGGCTGGACCCGTGCTTTTTACCAGAGAGTCTCCGTGATATCGTCGAAGTGGGCACGTACGCGCGCTTCGCTTCGACGTGTAATAAGTTGATGGAGTGGGACCTAACAAGCTGGGAGGTTTGGCTGTATCGCTTTTTGGTGATCACGCTTCCTCCCTTCGGTACTCTTTTCATGCGACGCTGCCAGTTGCATCGCGTTGTGAAGCTTGTCAAGTACATCGAGGGCTTCGGTGGTGGTTTTTTCCGCGGCATCAACTTTCGTGTCCATGGTACGCAACTGAAAATTGGCTTCAGTCCCGATTTTTCACTTGGCTATCTCGATGTACTAATCTCGCCCTCAGCTTCGTCTTCATCCGCGAACTTGAGCGCGATGCAAATTGCCGATCATGAGGATTTGGTGCTTGTGGTTGGTGGTAGCGGATCGTTCTTTCGACCGTATCACCTGGATTCGAATGACATTATCGTGCGAGCAGTGCCCTCGCGTCTACAGCTTTTGGAGCACATGTTTTGGATTGATTTTGTGGCCGACATGAACCAGAAACTGCGCGTGTTACCGCAGCCTTCATCGGTAATTCGTCGTGTTGCCGAAGCTGCGAAAGTGGCTCGTGACATCATCATCTGTGTGGCAGCGTTCAACAGGGACCACGGAAGCGATGGCTTTGCCGTGGTGTTTGGGACATTCGTAGTCGGTGAAACGGAAGCTACCGGTGCAAGCACGCGCTGTTTCCAGCCGCTTTCGTCCAAGAATGTAGACGCGACTTTTGCGTCCTACCCGCAGATACCGTTCAAGTTAGCCTTCCGCATTTCCAGATCGAATGTGCCGGCAGCAAGTCATGCCAGCGTGAAGAAGACTCGAACCGCGGTATCAGACTACCCCGACTTGTTACCCGAGGATAACGAACGAGGGATGGCTGAGACCGATCCCCGGTCTGCTGAGTTCCGGTTCTCGAAAATCAGAACAGAAGCTCTGTTCGTACAGCCTGAGCGTGAGCACGCAGGCATCTCGAGCGATGCCAGTGACAGCCTATTGCTGTCCAAAACACAAGAAAAGCACAGCACGGCCCGACAAACGAGAATGTTGGTGAAGTTGTTGTGCAGGAACGATACTGCGAAGCGATGGCTAACGACACTTTGGCGGCCTGTGTACCCTCTTTTCCGGCTGCGCAACTTGCCACGTCCCGAGATGCCAGCTCGTTGGTTGCTCTCCGTGATGATGGTGCTCCTCATTATTGCTGACATGGGTGTTGCCTTTTGGATTATAGTGGAGTACTATTGTGTTCAAATTCGTGACCCCAGTGCCCAAGATGCTGGCTGTTCTCGGGTACGTCCTACCTGTGGAGGAACGATGATGCAATTGAGCAGAGTATGTAACAATGTGCTTGTGTTCTCAAACAGACCGCGTTGTGGTCAGTTCTGGGTATCTTGCCCGCAGCGATCGCCGGCTCGCCGCTTCTTGGGCTGGCTTTCGTCACGAGAAAGAGCATTTTTTGCGGCAAGTTGTTTGCGTTGTGGAATGCCAGCTCCGTTGTGAACCAAGCTGTTGCTTTCGTTGGTGGCATTGTGTATCTCAAGTACATTCATGACGATATCCTTCTGGTGGCACTTGGTGGCGTGCTGATAAAGTATTTCGAGAAAGAAGTGGCTCTGCGATGCATCGCGCAATACGCAAGCGAGCGGCCTCTACGCGGTTGGCGAGGTCTACACACAACACGTGATTGGTACGATGCTGCATACACGCCCTTAGTCCATCACGAAAGGTAAGAAGATCTTCGTCAAATGGCAAACAAACGTTGTATCACGCTTTCCACTTTTCTCTTTACACAAGTTCTGCCGTGCGTCTACTACCAGCGGCGTGAGAACATTTTCATGTAGAAATACGTGACAACAAACGCGACGAACAGCATCGCCACGAGCCAAAGCGACGTCCAGAGTCCAATGCTCGCGGCCAACTGCTGCTTCAGCTTTGTGTTTTCACGATCGAGTAAGGCCGCATTTGACTCGGCACTTTCACCTACAGCGTCCAAGATCTTGACGTCCTCGAGCAGAGATTGATTGATCGTCTGCGTCCTGTCCTTCAGCTGCTTCGCAAGCGCCATCATCTCCGACTGGATCGATTCCTGCTCTTCTCGAGCCACCGTCTCCGATGCACTCGCTTGTGCTTGCGATCGGTCCATCAACCCAAGGCGTTGTCGGATAGCTTTGGTCGACGGCTTCTCCTCTTGTGGAGCCGCTGCGTCCAAGACCGACTTCAAGTCATCTGCAGTCAGGTCCATCTGCATCTCCAACGTCGCACATGTCTCCTCCTCACGATCAAAAGATACGAGCAATGGTTCCTGCGTCGTTGCTGGATCTTCCAGCTTGCTGTAAATCGCAGCCGCGCGACTGTGCTCTCGTTTTCGCAACTCGGCGATTTCTGATGCTCGAAGGATTCGTCGTGACGGAGTCGCTGGCCTTTTCTCTTGTTTCAGTACATTGATTTCAGCCAATAACGATGCGAGATCAGATGCCAAAGCCTCGAACTCGTTCGTGTCGTGGAGGCGCTGCTGATACTGCAGCGCCAATTGCTCGTACTGATCACGTCAACAACGAGCACAGAGTGGTGTATTGCGTCAGCTGGTGGACGCATCATGGCAAGCTATAGAGTGGGAGCAGCAGCTATATACCTGTGCAACGTCGTGGTCATCCAGCACTATCTCGCTGTTGGCTTTCGATCGAGTCCATGCCGCCAAGAAGCGCCGACATTCGATGACCTCCATGACGAGAAGTCACTCTTCTGAAATGCGGCGCAATCGTACCAATTCGGACGAAATGGTCTTTGATCGGAATCAGATATTGATATGTGCTTCTACCGGTATGTCAACGGTATGCTGCTGCTTTTGCACAATGGCGACAATGTATCTGCGGAGTATGCTAAAAAGGTGGCAACTATCGATCGCACAAACCTGTACGTCGACAGTCGGTACGACGAGGCGATGGATGGCACGCAGCACCAGTACTTGGAAGATGACGCATTGCGAGGAGGAAAGCAGAAACGTTGTTGACCTCAACAATGAGCAAACGACTAAACGTGAGCGACCGTGAACATCATGTCGTTGGTGTCCCCGGGCGGAACGTCCGGGTCAGTGACTAATGCAAACGTACGATAGCGACAACTTGTTCAGCTCGGCCGACTACCTCTCATCCCAGTACGATAGATCTGTCCATTTGATCTCGCGACGATCCCATGACGAAGCACACGCGTCTGTTAGTAGATTGACTCGGTCCCTCTGTGAAGCATTCGCAAATGCTCTTTGTCCTACTTCTGCCTCTTTCTACGTGCAATCGAGACAGATGTGGTGCTGCTGTGTCTTTCTACACAGTCCTCAAATCATCAGCGCTCCATTGCAGCTTGGTGTAGGCGTGCCGATCTCTGGCAATGGGAAGCCCGAAAAGAGTAAAGTGTGTGCAGCACCAGATGCTGTTTCGTATCATGTTCTGCTTTGACAAACAGCAGCTTCTTGTCAAGGCCAAGGAAGAGAGCACCGGACCGCGAGAACTATATTTTGATCAAGACTGGCTGTTCGTAATGGCTGTATACCAAGTACCGCCGCCGCATGACAACTTGTCGCTTTCTGCCAAACGCGAACAGCCGGCCACAGACGCGTCAATGCTGAGCCGCGTTTCTCGCGCGATTACTTCAGCGTGCTCCATCCCAAAGCATTAGTCCACCCTGCAAACAGCCAAGTGTGCTTTCTGATCCCTCGCGAAAAAGAAAGGATCTACAACTTTGCCGTACCACGAAACGAAGACCGAACGCTCTCTCGAGACCATCGTGTCTGCAAAGCCCACTAGCACTAGCAGACGGCAGCCAAGAGAGAGAGAGAGCACTACTATCGAGTCCAATCTCGCATCGACGAAAAAGCACTTCAAGTAGCTGGCAACGTACGAGACGAATCGTCAATCGATCCACACGTCCATCGCTCACCGAGCAGCCACACTATGCAAATGGGACAAGATCATCAAGCAAACGACAAACGACTGCTTGCACAACCCTGTACCACCACATGGCTGGCTTTCGGGGTAGGGGATCGATCGATCGCCCGTGTTTTACACGGCCCCACCCAGTAGCTCCGATATCCGACTCCATCTACGCGCCCTCGCTGCTAAAACCGAGTACTTACTGACTACTTCAGTCAGTCCGCGCGCGGCCCCACTACCACAACACCACCACCAACGACGACAACAGCGACGTAACGGTCGACATGCCCCTCAGCTGCCATTCCTCGTCTTGACCCATCGCTGGCAGTTCAGGGCAGACAGACCCGCACCACACACATAGCAACAATAGCCACACGTACAGCCGTAGCGTCATCAACAACAACAACAACGCGACAACAGCGGAAGAGACCGACTCTTGTGGTGCCACTTGCGAGGCGACTGCTGATTGTCCGTCCGTTGGCTGCCTTTCTGTGTCTCCCGCCTGCTCGAGACAGGCCTTCTGTGTGTGTCTCTCTCTCTCTCACTCTCTCTCTCTCTCACTCGTCGTGTCTTGTGTGTGCCCCCGTGTGCAAAAGGCCACGCACTCGTCGGCCGCGTCACCTGTGAGGGTTTTCGAGCCCACTCACTCGTCAGTAAGTGCCTCAAGCTGCACGACCAGACAGCTCACTTATGATGCACGAGGAGAAGCAGCACACGGCGCCGAGTGTTGTCGTGGGCGCGCGATGTTACATTCCCGACGAAGAGGCCGCGTGGCTCCCTGTCTACGTCGAGCAAGTGGACGAAGTCAAGGGCCTCGTGACCGTGAGGATGCAACGGCCTCGAGACAGATTGGATTGCGCGAGCGGCCTCTTTGTCGATCATGACGACGAGGACCGGACAGGTGAAAGTCGCGTCGTGGCCATGGACGGGGGCTTCCCCTTGCAAAACACAAAGCTCTCCAGCTATGCAGAGGGGCTGGACAACTTGATCGACCTCAATCATCTCCATGAAGCTGCGATCCTTCGGAACCTGAAGAAACGCTTTCGAGCGCGGATGCCATATACGTATACGGGCGATATCTGCCTCGCGGTGAACCCGTACCAGTGGCTGGACGAGCTGTATGAACCTGGACTGCATGAGAAGTACATGCGCGCTCAGAAGCGACAGGATGTCCCACCTCATGCGTATGCAGTGTCTGTCGCAGCTTTCCGGCACATGTGTGACCACGGTACAAACCAGAGCATCCTTGTGAGTGGCGAGTCGGGCGCTGGGAAAACCGAGACAACGAAGATCTTGATGGACAATCTGGCCACCATTGCGCCAGCGTCGAGCAGTGCTGCAGCTGGTCAAGAGACCAACATTACGACGCGCATCATTGAGGTGAATCCGCTACTGGAGAGCTTTGGCAATGCAAAGACCACTCGCAATGACAACTCGAGTCGCTTTGGCAAGTTCACGCAGCTCCAGTTTGACAAGAGCCACGCTCTGTGTGGTGCTCAGTGTATAACTTACTTGCTGGAAAAGACGCGGGTTATTTCGCATGAGCGAGGCGAGCGCAACTACCACATTTTCTACCAGCTCTTGCACGGTACGACGCCTGAGGAGCGGGACGAACTGGGGCTGGGTGACGAGTGCCCAAAGTTTTCGTACTTGGAAGAAAAAGCACCTCAAGAAGAGTCACGACCTGGACGAAAAGCAAAGCCGAGCCCATTGACACCGTCTGAAGCGCCAGGTGCGCAAGCAGCCGAGGCGAAAGACAAAGCTCTGTTTGCAAAGACCCGAAAGGCGCTAACGCTGCTAGGCCTTGGACCTGATCAACAAGACGATTTGTTTCAGGTTCTCTCTGGTATTTTGTACTTGGGCGAGACTCAATTTGTCGAGAAACCCGACAACGACGAAGCTTGTGACTTGGAAAGGGACTCGATCGTTTGCTCGTGCTCGTTGCTTGGTTTGCACCCGGACGCTATGGCGAAAGCACTGACGCATCGCACTATCAAGACTGCAGGAGAGATCTATATGGTTCCACTAACAGTCGAGCAAGCTCAGTCGGGACGTGATGCACTTGCAAAAGCTATATATGCCTGTATATTCGACTGGCTAGTCGCTGGCATCAATGCTAGTCTTGGTGCTGCCGCACGGCTGACTGCAAACACGATTGGCGTGCTGGACATCTTTGGGTTCGAGAGCTTTGAGTACAACTCGTTCGAGCAGCTGTGCATCAACTACGCTAACGAGAAGTTGCAGCAGAAGTTCACGCAAGACGTTTTCAAGGCCGTGCAGGAAGAATACGAGCTCGAAAAGATTACGTGGGCGCACATTTCGTACGCTGACAATAGCGAGACTCTGTCGCTTATCGAAGGCCGCATGGGCGTCTTGGCATTGCTGAACGAAGAGATTGTGCGACCTCGCGGCAACGAGGAAGGCTTTGTCAGCAAGCTCGCTGGCGCTTATCCCAAGCAGAAGCAGCTCATTGAGTTCCCTCGGATCTCGAAGACTCAGTTTGCCATTCACCATTATGCTGGGACGGTCAAGTACGACGCCACGGGGTTCTTGGAGAAGCACAAAGACGCTTTGCTCTCGGACTTGTCGGATTTGATGTGTGGTAGCCACAAGCCGTTTCCTCAGATGCTGTTCAAAGTGAAGGCAGAGATGGAATCTGCTGCTGCCGCTGCTGCCGTTAGTGCGAAGCTTTCGTCTTCCGGTGGCCGGAAACTCGGCGGCTCTCGTCGAGGAACTAGTGGAGCTAGCGCGGACAAGACAGTGGGTATGCAGTTCAAGCAGTCGCTGAACTCGCTCATGGAGAACATCAAAGAGACAAATGCCAATTACATTCGGTGCATCAAGCCCAATAGTGTCAAGAGCGCGACACTGCTGGAAGACAAGATGGTGGCGAACCAATTGCGCTGTGCCGGTGTGATTGAAGCGATTTGCATCGCTCGTGCTGGCTACCCCAACCGATTGCTGCACGCGGAGTTTGTCGAGCGATTCGACCTGTTCCTGAACGAGCAAGAGCAGCGGCAGATGCAGGAAGAAGCTGAGCAGTGGAGTGCACCGTTTTGCCACGTCCTGGTGCAGCAGTTCAAGCTCGAGACGCCGGAAGAGTACCAAATGGGCGTGACCAAGATATACCTGCAAAAAGGGGTGCTCGAGAAGCTCGAGCATGCAAAAGCACAGAAACTATCAGTGTACGTTGCACAGATTCAGGCCCAATGGCGTGGCCTGCGTGCCCGACGCGCGTACGTGGCACTGCGAGGTGCGTTGATTGTGATCCAGCGACGGGTGAAAGTCTTTGTCGACAGGTGCCGCTTCCTTCGAGCTCAGCGTGCGATTGCAGTGATCCAGCGAGTGTGGCGCGGCCACGTTGGTCGGTGTGAGTTTCGTGCCGTCCAACGCCAGCACTGCGCGGTTCAGATCCAGCGACTATGGCGAGGCCATCAGGGACGCAAGAAGTACCGTTCTCGCTTGCACCACGTCCGTGCCGCGCAGATTCAGCGCATGTGGCGTGGACACAAAGGCCGACGTATCTACTTTGCCGTGCTACGTCAGACGCGCGTGGTGCCGATCCAGTGCTTTGCTCGCCAGTATTTGGCTCGACAGGAGCTCTCGAGACGTCGAGCTGCGTACATGCTTACATTGGAAGAGGAGGCACGAAGACGCGCGGAAGAGGAGGCACGAAGACGCGCGGAAGAGGAGGCACGAAGACGCGTGGAAGAAGAGCTGGAGAGGCAGCGCAAACTGCAGCAAGAGCTTGCTCGACTGGAAGAAGAGCGTCGGGTGGAAGACGAGCGGAAGCTGCAAGTGCTTTGTGAAGCGAGCGCCGTCGTGATCCAGCGACACGTTCGTGGCTACTTTGCTCGATGTTTGTTTGCTGACTTGCGCGAAGCAGCCGAGGAAGAAGAGCGCTGTCGTCGGGAAGAAGAGGAAGCGCGAGAACGAGTTCGGTTGCAGCTCGAGGCACAACGTCGCGCAGAAGATGCGGCACGTGAAAAGGAGAGACTGGCCGATGAACGCAAGCGGAAGGCGATTGCAATGCGCCAACGGCGTGAGAACGCCGTCAAGTGCATGCAACGGACGGTCCGTGGCCATTTGGCCAGGGTGGAGTTTGCTGCGATCAAGAACGCGGCTCGTGCGAAGGCCGAAGAAGAGGCTCGCAGGATAGAGGAAGAGGCGAGGAGGATGGAGGAAGAGACTCGTCGATTAGAGGAAGAGACCAGGATAATGGAGGAAGAGGCGCGCAGATTGGCACAAGAGGCCAGGAGGAACGAGGAAGCAGCAGCGACGCGTCTGCAGAGCATCCAGCGTGGCCGTTTAGCTCGTCAGCAGTTTTCGACGTTCAAGATTGAAAAAGCCGAGCAGGACGAGGAAGCTGCACGTGTGCGTGAGGAGCAGGAGCGAGCGCTTGCTCGTGCTTTGCAGGAGGAGACGATCGCTCGTGCTCGCGAAGAAGAGATGGCTCGGGCTGCAAGCGAGCGAGACGACGAGATTGCTCGTGTCCGTGAAGAGAACACGAAGCTGAAGCAGCAGCTAGCAGAACTCGAGAAGGCCAATCAAGACTTGAAAGCAGCCGTGGCCGAGTATCAATGTGACCGCGAGGTCGTCAAGGCATCCAACAACTTGAAGGAGGTCGAGCTGACGCAGAAGCTGAACGTCCAGCGCCAGGATCTGGAACACGCACGCAGCGCGTACTCGACGCTCCACGATTTTGCAGGGAAGATGGGGAGTTCACGCTGCTTGACGGAACCGGAAGAGCTCAATTCGTCCGACAGTTCATCAACGTCAGGAGACGATGAAGTGGAGCACTGGAAAGAAGACCGACCAACGATTGATTCGACGTCTGCTTCCTACTTTGACAGCGATCGGCCGTCGACGGACATTGCCAAGCTGCTCGGCAGCAGCTCATCGCGTGCCTCGCGCCTCGCCAGTGTTATCCAGCAGCGTCGTCAAAAGACGGTTCAGGTGGTGCAACAGCGTCAACAACAGGCAAGTTCTGCACTGCAGCATCGGAAAGAGATGCTTGCGCAACGAAAGGAGGCGCAGCGCAAGGCGCAGACAATGCCAATCACCTCGACGACTGCGACAAAGGCGAAAAAGTGGGCAAGTTTGTCGCGCGGCAAGACAAAAAAGGACAATGGACCCATTGAGCTGTCTGACCTGCTCGAGTGATCGCAATCGTCCGCGTGTCACGACTTGACGCAGCGGATGACTTGCAACTTGCAGCAGTTGTCGCAGCACTGGCCGCACGAGAGCGACGTGGCTGGTCTAGTTGCGTAAGCTGTGCTCGGTGCAGACGTTGTCGTTACGGTATCTATTACAAGTCACCTCGTCGCGAGGCGAGTTTTGACCAGAAGAAGCACACACACACACATCCATTGACCCATTATCTATGCAATATCATGTAGTGGGTAATGTCTGTTTGATCGGATCGCTCCTCATCATTCTGTGCTGCTTCCGTTGCTGTCAGGTCGTTGCAGTCACTGCTCATGTCCAGACGCACGTCCGCACGAACGTGTCGTCACGCTCGACAAGGAAACGGTCTGATGGGGATGCTGCTGCATACGTAATCAGAGCCTACCGACCGAAGAAAGCTGATCGGTGCAGTAGAGAGAGAGAGAGGGAGAGAAAAAGAGAGAGCAGGTGGGAGCTGACTCGTTCGACTGACTCGTTCGACTGACTCGTTCGACTGACTCCGGTTTTCGCGACACGACGACATCGAGTCTGACGTCAGAAGCGACGACGCGATGAAACGGTCCGAGCAGACGAAAACTCCTGAGACTGTTTGTGTGGGTGTATGTGGACCACTCCATTGGTCTCTCATGTCACACGATCGCACGTGCAAAAGACGTGCGTGCGTATGTGCGCATGTGCGTACGTGTGTGCTGCTCGTTCGGCTGTCTGTCTGTCTGTGTGTGTGTGTGTCTGTCTGTCTGTCTGTCTGTCTGTCTGTCTATCTGTCTGTCTGTCGTCCCTTTTCCCTCAAAAACGATGAAAAATCCTCTGCAAAAAAGGAAAAACCCGTCTGCACCACTCGTCCGAGTCGCAGAATCTGCGGCCGTTTTGAAAGTCGCTGCGTTGCTTCGCGCAGTCAGTGGGCAACTGACGGGAGTGGGGGTAGGCACCGACTGAACAGGTGGCGACGGAGATGTCACACGTCCTGAGACTTCCAGGAGGTGTTTCGACCAGGAAGACAGCTGGGAAGTGAGACGGACAGACACAGACTCAGACTGGGAGACAGACACAGACTGGTAGATAGACAGACTCAGACTGGTAGACAGACAGCCACGTGCATTCCCTTGTGGACGTTCGCTGCCTGCGCTCATTCCGACAAGTGCCGTCATCCCGTGATCCACTTGTTATCGCCATCTCACTCCTACACACTTACACTACTGCAACTCGTACTGCTTCTTGTCCCACGCCCACGTTCAGCCGTTGTCTCTTCTTCCCAATGTTCCGTATCGTGCGATCGACATCGAGCGTCTTCAAGGTCTCTACTCATTGCTACCGCCTCGAGTCAACCGGTCCGCAACGTGGCAGTCGGTTCCTGCAAAGCCTCGTGCAGTCGCGACCGCAAGTCAATGCCGAGTCGACTGGAGGGTCTACTTCGCTGAGTTTGGCTGCACTTGCCGGCGCTGCGGCACTGAGTGTCGGGCTGGAAGCGCAGACGGAAGGCGTGACGCACGCGCGAGCAGCGATGACTGCCGAGCCCATGCGGCCGTCCAAGTGGCACTTGTTTGACCAGATTGGCTCGGGGGCATATGGCACCGTGTGCCTTGGGATGCACGAGGAATCCGGCGAAGTGGCTGCTATCAAGAAGATGGTCGTCGAGCGGGCGAGCGATAGTCGATCGTACGTGGCGCTCGAGCGCGAGGTCGGGGCCCTCAATCTCGTGAAAGCGCTCGGCGGCCACTCGAGTATTGTCGACTTGCGTGACGTGTACGTGGACGGTCGCAATGTGTACGTGGTCACGGAGTTAGCACGAGGAGGAGAGCTCTTTGAGCAAATTGCGACGTTCGGGTCGTTTGCGGAAGCAAAGGCACAAGCGATTGCGCGTGAATTGACGAGCGCGCTGTCGTTTCTGCACCGACATGGACTCGTGCACAAGGACGTGAAGCCCGAGAACATTCTCTTCAGTGCCCGTGTTGTTGATCACAAGAAGCACAGCAACAGCAGCAGCAGCAGCAGCAGCGCTTGTCGTCGACAGGAGAGCGCTAGTCTTGTCAAGCTGGTGGATTTTGGCAGTGCTGGACCTGCAGGCGCGATCGCGAGTGTTGAAGACATTGGCACGAGTGCGTACTTGTCGCCTGAGGTCCTTTCTTCGGGCCTCTGCACCAGCGCGTGCGACATGTGGGCGCTAGGCTGCGTGCTGTACATTATGCTGAGCGGGTCGCATCCGTTTGATTTGGACGGAATGTCACCGGACCACGTGGTTGAGCACCGCATTGAAGCAGAGCCGATCACGTTTGCCTTCAGTGCCTGGAACAACGTCTCACCCGATGCGAAGGACCTCGTCTCGAAGCTACTGGTCAAAGACCCAGCGATGCGTCTCACAGCGGATCAGATGCTGCAACATCCATGGATGACTGCCGCGACGGAAGCGATTGCTGCTACGGATCGTCTGCATGTGCCTTTGCCATTGCTGGCGGGGCAGCCGATTCCGATGGTTTCTGCGTGATGAAACGTGGAACTAGGCGTCCGACCCGCTCAGGACGCTTGGATGTGTACAGTAGGTGAGTGTTCGGGGGACTCAAGAGGAGACATAGGAGTGTATCAGTAAGTCAATGGCCTTCAATGACAGGACGAGGAGCAATGTATGGTATATGTACGTGTATTACAAAATAGCAGCCAACAAACGAGTTCGAGACCTCTGGTGCTCAGTAGATTATGCATATCACGATCGTGTTCCCTTTGGATACAAGTGCGTGTATGGAGACAAACCAGGGCAATGAGCGGATGGAGGAGCGCCGCACTGAGCCCAACTATAGCGTCTACATTCGAAATTGTTCTTGCATTGTTTCAATGACCACCCGGCACACGAGCGCGCTGGAAACAGCACTTGACGAGGTGGAGATACCAAATGCGAATGTACAGTCTGTACAGTATCTACACATGCATTGCTAGGTCTCCAATAAAGATCCCAAAAGACACGGTCAAATGTGCAAATGAAGCTCTTGGGGCTGCCTGGGCCACACAAGCGGTACATCGTACCATTGCGTTCTCCACCACTGAATCGTCGGGCCGTGTCCACCGTTGTGCTGGGTTCCCTCTTCAACCGCATACATCGCGTTTGACGGGTGCACGGCATGACTGGCCACGAGCCCTTTGCATTTGACATTTCCCGGATCAAAAGAGAAGAGCAAGTATGGGTCGCGTTATCCGTGGCCAGCGTAAGGGTGCCGGCTCGATCTTCAAGTCCCACACGCACCTGCGAAAGGGCGCTGCCAAGTTCCGTGCTCTGGACTACATTGAGCGCACGGGCTACATCAAGGGCGTGATCAAGGAGATCATCCATGACTCTGGCCGAGGGGCTCCTTTGGCTCGCGTGACGTACCGTGACCCGTACCGTTACCAGCTCAAGCACGAGCTGTTGATTGCAGCGGAGGGCATGTACACGGGCATGTTCATCTACTCGGGTCCTAAGGCCAACCTGGCTGTGGGCAACACGCTGCCGTTGTCGGCACTCCCGGAAGGTACCATTGTGTGCAACGTGGAGGCCAAGGTCGGCGACCGCGGCGCTTTTGCTCGTGCTTCGGGCGACTACGCTGTGATTGTCACGCACGACGAGGACAAGCACAAGACGAAGCTTCGTCTGCCTTCGGGCTCGAAGAAGACGGTCCCTTCGGCGTAAGTTGCTGCTACTTGTTGGCCATTTTCGATGAATGAGTCAAGACTTGGATTTCGGTCCGAGTCTTGAGGCACGGCGACGCTTCTCGCGGCGGCTATGTGTATAGCATGACGCGAGGAACGTTCGCGCCGCGTTTGTGTCAGTCGTTGACATGGACGTGTGTGTGTGCTGAATCATTCCATCCCGCCTTTGTGCGGTGCGTAAGTATCTCTTGATGACTCACACTTCTGACTCCGATTCGGAAGTGTGACGATTGTTTGGGGTGCTATGGAGATGGCGTTGGTGGACGATGTGGATGGCTGTGTCATGTGTATCTAATGGCTGTGTTGTGCTGCTTTCTTGTCATCTTCAGGTGCCGTGCTATGGTTGGTGTGGTTGCTGGTGGAGGTCGTACGGACAAGCCGATTCTCAAGGCTGGCCGTGCTTTCCACAAGTACCGCGTCAAGCGCAACGAGTGGCCTCGTGTGCGTGGTGTGGCCATGAACCCCGTGGAGCACCCTCACGGTGGTGGTAACCACCAGCACATTGGTCACCCGTCGACGGTGCGTCGTGATGCGCCTGCTGGTAAGAAGGTTGGTCTGATTGCCGCTCGCCGCACGGGCCGCCTTCGCGGTATTAAGAAGGTAGAGAAGGACAGCTAGGCTGCTGCTCTAGCTCAGTGTGCAGCCTTTTGGCTGGTAAACGGGAATGCCATAATGAAATACTTTTCAATCGAAACCATTGCTTCGTAGTTGTCCTCGTCGGTCATCCGTACATCAACTTCTCTGCGCGTCGTCGCTCCGACGCTTCTCTGTCATTTCTCTCTCGACGTAGCTCCTCAAGCAACGTCTCGTCGTTGCACAGCTCGTGTTTGCGCTTCTTTGCTCGATGTTTGCTGCTCTTTTTCAGTGCCTTTTCGACATGCTTCTCCTCGAAGTCATCCCGACAGCGGCGAGTTCGTTCTTTGCAATCGCGTGACGTCGACAAACAGTCGTACCGGCCCGAATACTTTCTGCGGTCGCTCCCAGCAGGTCCCGTGCGTACGTACGTGCGCCAACTGCGTCCCTCACTCTCCTCCAAACGAACAGAGCACGATCCCGAACGTTGTCCTGGCTCCTTTTGTGGACGCATGTACTGTAACGGATCAGCAAGATCTAAATTCCTGCACCCGTGCACAGCAACAACAGCAACGCTGAGCCCTCCTACACACACTGCATGCAACAGCCCATCCTTTTTTGTCACAAGACACGACCAACCTCTTGTTCTGGCGCTCCTGTCTCGCGGTAAGCTCCTGCTGTGCCCTCTCTGGCTGCGCATACCACGGCGGCTGCCCATGTTTCCCCAGCGTCTCGTCCGCTCCTTTCTCCTTTGTCTTCTTGTACCGAGTCACGTCTCTGCCGCTTGCTCGACTCTCTTCTGTCTCGAACAAGTTCACGTGCTTGTTAGGCGCCGATGACGGGTCACGTCCTTTTGCTACGAGCTGCTGAGCGCGCCGCTCCTGCTCTCGACTCCGTTCGTTCGCGTCCCTTTCACGGCACTTTTCTTCGTGCTCCCGCTCGTCTTTCAGCACCCGCTCGATGTTGTCGCGGCGCCACACGTGCCACGATTTGTGCGGCAAGATGCGTAACCCGCCGCCGCCCATACTGGTTTCGCGTAAAACAACAAACGATTAGCGACGTCGATGTGATTGGTGGATAAAGGAGCAGTCGCACGAAGATGGGTACATGTTTGTACCACATTCGTTTGTCTGCAGCATCAGTGGCGTAAGTGAAGAAACAGATATTTCTTGAGCGCGAAAATCGAGGTTTTATGTGAGCGACAGCGCGCTCATAATTACGGCTAGAAGTAGTTCTCAATTCAGAAAAGTGGATGAGGGACTGTGCATCGAGAGTAGTTGGATTATGAACATGATCGAAATCTGTCATTGCATTCATCTGCTGTTTATGACGTTGCTGCAGTTCTCCTCACAAAAACGGACGGCATCGACGCTATTTCTGCCCTCCAAAGACACAAACACCTTACTTCAGCAACACCAGACATCATAAAGTGCAGTCATGATCGACTCGTTCTAGAAGCAGTAATCCGGCACTTTTAGAAACAATCTGGCCACCCAGCAAATAGAACAACTAGATAAGTAACCAATAATGATTCAAATTTCAACTATGCCAAAGTGTTCGTCAATTATGGGACACGCAGAGCCAAAAAAAGTATCTTCTCGTCGTGCGTAGCAGCAGCTGCAACAACAAAACCCCATCCTCCAGTCAGGAGCTCCTCCTTCGTCAAGAGCACAGTAAGGCGTAGCGCCCCGCAGCATTGGCAATGACCAAAGCCAAGCAGCTCGTCGACCACAGCCACGACATTGTCGCCGATATGCTCGAGGGACTCGTGCTCTCGCATCCGCATCTCGTACTCGAACGTGCACAGCGTGTGGTGCTGCATCGCAATTATCGAGATCTTCGAGAGGGCCAAGTGACGCTCGTCTCAGGTGGTGGGAGCGGCCACGAACCTGCTCATGCTGGCTACATTGGCACGGGGATGCTCACGGCGGTGGTCTGTGGGGGTGTCTTTGCTTCGCCCTCAACGCAGCAGGTGCTCACGGCCATTCGATTGGCTACGGGACCGCACGGGTGTCTCGTTCTGGTCAAGAACTACACAGGAGATCGCCTGAACTTTGGGCTTGCAGTCGAACAAGCCAAAGCGGAAGGAATCAAGTGTGACATGGTAGTCATTGGAGACGACGTGGCAGTCCTGCAAGCTAATGCAGGTCGTCGAGGGCTCTGCGGAACTGTGTTTGTACACAAGTTGGCAGGTGCTGCAGCTGCAGCAGGGACAGATCTAGCGACGCTTGTGGATATGGTCAACGGCTTGATGGAAACGAGCAAAGTGGGCACAATGGGCGTGGCTATCAAGCCTTGCACCTTACCAGGCCAGCAAGATAATTCGAGAGAGTGGAAAGACAATGAGATGGAGATTGGCTTGGGGATCCACGGCGAGCCGGGAGTGACCAAGTGCGAGCAACAGGACGTGCCGGCTCTGTGCAAATTGCTGCTGGAGAAGATCACGACAGATCGAATGCCCATGGGACTGGCACTTGGACACGGAAGTAAGTGCGTGCTGATGGTGAACAATTTGGGCGCGACGACAGCGATGGAGCTGTACGTGGTGGCCAAGTACGCAGTGGAAGCGCTTCGAGCAAAGGGCATTGAGCCTGAACGTGTGCTTGTTGGCTCCTTCATGACAGCACTGGACATGGCAGGGTTTTCTCTGTCGGTGTGGAACTCGAACGGCGATGCTAAGATGCTCGCGTTGTTTGATGCACCCACGTCAGCACTGGCATGGACGTATGCATCCTTCGATGCTTCGCAGTCGACGATCTCGGTGCCGTTCGTTAACGCAGAAGCCCCCACTCAGCCTCGAGATACATTTGTGCGCCCAGCTGAGCTCTCAGACGATGGACGTCTACTTGAAAAGTGCATCGTGACTGTGTGTGATGCTCTGATTCAACACGAGCCACAGCTCACACAATGGGATACCAAGGTGGGCGATGGCGATTGTGGCACGACGTTTAAGAAAGCAGCCGAAGCTATTCTGGCCGACTTGAAGGATCACTACCCGTTGAATGACGCTGCGCAGACATTGCGTGCGCTTGCTGCATCAGTGAGTCGTAGTGCTGGTGGTACTTCTGGTGTGCTCTATGTGATCTTCTTGACGGCTGGATCACTGCACCTCGACCATTGTCAAACATGTGACACTGATGCGTGGATTGGTGCCTTTCGTGCTGGCACCAGTGCTATTGAGAAATACGGCGGCGCCAAGAAGGGCTGTCGCACGATGCTGGATGCGCTTATCCCAGCACTCGAGGCTCTTCTTGACAGCCATGACTTACAGGCTGGGAATATGTCTGCCACCGCAGCTGCAGAAGCAGCCCAAGAAGGTGCCGAGGCAACAGCTCTGATTTCTACGACAAAAGCATTTGGCCGTGCTGGATACGTCGGTGAAGAGTTCGGTGTCGGCGTCCCTGATCCTGGTGCCAAAGCTGCTGCATTCTGGATCCAGGCCGTCGCTGACACGGTAAACTTGAGCCAAAGCAGGAAGTGACGAATGGTGTCGCAAGTCGGTCGTTGTGCATGATGTCAGCCGAGATGCGGGCAAGCGCTTCGTAACGCGATCATTTGTACGATGAAGTATCGATGCTTGGCCTGTTGACGATGGGTCGTGTCGGTCCTTTAAAAGTTGTGCGATTGTTTCGCAGCTATTTCTCACGGCATACCACACCGAGATGACTTTGCTACGCAGATATTGTTCGCTCATCGGCACTGCCCCTCGAACGAGTCGGTAGCTGGTCGTGAAGGCAACTTCACATTGTCGTTGACTCGATCGATTCGAGGACTCAGGAGCTCACATCGACCGAATGCAGATCCAACAACATCAAGTCGCGAACTACGCGCCTACTGCTATGAGCGTGGCATCGTCTTCATTATGATCTGATTTGGCAACGACCTGACGTTTGCCACTCACTCATGGAACTGTCTGAATGTCAACGACATGACTTGTCCCGTCGTGACTTGTGCGTTTCGCTGTGATGTGCCCATGTTTACTCGTCTTGTGCGTCGCGAGCCTCAACAGCACTCATTCCTGTCATCGACGACCGTAATGCAGTGGGAATGCGGTTTGATTGACAGACAGAGTCAGTTCGAAGGCATCGACTGCAACTTCTGAACAATACGTTCGCCTGACATGTACATACAAACTCTGGCCCACTGGCTCCGCACGACTCGAATACCTTTCTACTACCTGTCCACGTCGTCTGCGACTGTGTAACAGGACGTGCATTCGACAGACGCACGAGCTGCAATGCCTGCTATCCCCTGCCAACCTCACAGCAACAGACACAACAGAGAAGACAAAAGAGAGAGAGCCCCTGTATTCGATACCTGATACAAAGTGGCACAACCAACTCACCAGCTGACTCTCTCGAACGACCTCGAGGAGTTAGCTCAACAAGCGATCCTCCATGTCGTCGCCGCTGCTCGTCTCGTTAGTTGCCCAGCAGGTCGTAGTCGTCGAGCTTGTCATTGTACTTCATGATCGTGCGCTTGATCTTGGAACTGTCGACCCACGTGACAAAGTCCTCCATCGACCGCGTGACCAGAAACGCCGGATCCGTCACGACCGTCGGCCCCACACGGACATGTCCTTGTTCCACAAACGTCGTGGCTTCTTTAATACTCTCGGCCATTTTCACGCGCACGAGCACGACAGGCAGACGCCGTCGACAAAAGGCCGAGACATTCACTTCTTCGGCCTTGAGCAGACTCTTTTGCGTCTGAATCAGTCCCATGTGATACAATTTGCTCAACAACGCAGTGGTCGTCTGGATCCGGTAGGGATCCGTGGCCGGCCGCTTTTTCAGCCGCGAGACCACTCGCGAGATGTGGCCAACGAGTCGATTGTACTTGTGATACTGTTCGCGGTCAGGAATTCGGTACCGCCGAATCACTTTGATCTCGTGCACGTTGTTCTCTTGTTTCCACTCGAGCAAATCCACTTTCTTCAGCAGCTTTTGCTCATGGTACTTGAGGGCTCGCCCCATTGTTGCGTCGACGTTCCAAACTGCCTGCGGTTGTAAACCAAAGCCCAGTCACTGAATGACGCGGTAGGTACCAAACGTCCCGCCAAAGAGCGGAGGCAAATATGGTGTCCACCACATGACTCACCCACGACCAACGGATTAGTAGCGCGTTCGCCAGGAGCTACGCCCGACGTCTTGAGCCTCCAGGGCTCATTCTTGGACGTGTCGCCCGCCTCCTTTGTGCAGCCACAGCGCGACCATGACCGCAATGGACGTGGAGAAGAAGAGCAAGAAGAAGAAGCTCAAGGCCGCGTCAGCACTCGTTGTCCACGACAGCAACGACCTCATTGCGCCCGAGAGTCACACGCCTGCGCTGGACACGAGCAAGTGGCCGCTCTTGCTCAAGAACTACCACCAGCTCAATGTCCGCACGGGGCACTACACGCCCATTCCGTGCAGCTCGAGTCCCCTCAAGCGCAACATTAGCGACTACGTCCGCTACGGCGTGATCAACCTCGACAAGCCCGCGAACCCGTCGTCGCACGAGGTCGTTGCGTGGATCCGCCGCATCCTGCGCGTGGACAAGACGGGGCACTCTGGCACCTTGGACCCCAAGGTCACTGGCTGTCTCATTGTGTGCGTGGACCGCGCCACGCGGCTTGTAAAGGCACAACAAGGAGCTGGAAAAGAGTACGTGGCGGTCGTGCGGCTGCACAGTGCGATTGAGAGTCAAGCGAAGCTGGCACGGGCCATTGAGACGCTAACGGGCGCGCTGTTCCAACGTCCGCCGCTGATCTCGGCTGTCAAGCGCCAGCTGCGAATCCGGACGATCTACTCGTCGAAGCTGATTGAGTACGATGAAGACCGACACTTGGGTGTGTTTCACGTGAGCTGCGAAGCCGGCACGTATATTCGTACGCTGTGTGTGCACTTGGGACTCGTGCTTGGCGTGGGCGGTCACATGCAGGAATTGCGTCGCGTGCGCTCGGGTGTGCTGGGCGAAAACGACTCGTTGGTGACGATGCACGATGTGCTGGATGCTCAGTATCAGTACGACACGTACAAGGACGAGTCGTACTTGCGTCGCATTGTGCGTCCGCTTGAAGTACTGCTCACGACGTACAAGCGCATTGTCGTGAAGGACAGTTCCGTCAACGCTATCTGCTACGGAGCGAAGTTTATGATTCCGGGCCTTTTGCGGTTTGCCGACGATATCGATGTGGGCGAAGAGGTCGTGCTGATGACGACGAAAGGAGAGGCGATTGCGGTTGCTATTGCTCAGATGACAACAGCGGTGATGGCCACGTGTGATCATGGGGTAGTTGCCAAGATCAAGCGCGTCATTATGGAGCGTGACACGTACCCTCGTCGTTGGGGGTTGGGACCTATGGCTCAGAAGGTCAAAAGTTTGGTCAAGGAGGGCAAGATCGGCAAGTTTGGCAAGGTGAACGAGAGCACCCCGGCTGATGTATCGGAACTGTACAGCAAGGACGATGCAAAGAGGCCTCTGGTAGTGGAGGTGACGGAGGAGAAGGTTGAGGCGCTGGGAGAAGATGAGGCCCCGAAGAAAAAGCACAAAAAGGAGAAGAAGGAGAAGAAGGAGAAGAAACACAAGAACAAGCGTGACGCCGAGGTGGCAGATGTAATGGAGGTGGGTGAGTCTCCGGAGAAGAAGAAGTCGAAGAAAAAGTCGAAAAGGAAGTCAAAGGAGGCAACAAGCGACTCGGAATAGACGACTTCATTTCGACTGAGATGGTGCTAAGTCTTCTCGTGAGTATCTTGCCATTGGAATGGAGACTGCTCTCGAGTCAGCTTTTGTAAGTGTGCGACGATCGATGCCTTTGGCTGGACGCAACAATGCTCGCTTAGTTTTTATAGTGATACATCCTGTATGTCTTGATGTCGACGCTACCTTGACGCGCAGTCGAAGCTTGGTAGTGAATATACTTTATTTCTGCATCATAATTGACCATGTGCAAGAAGATTTTGCACTAAGAGTACGCAGTCCCTATGCTTTTATGATATGCGAACGACGTTGTCAACCTGCAAGTATGAAGCCCGGCAGCATTCCACATTCATGGGTCACAGATAAATAGGCGAAATGCTCATGTCTTGGGAACGGCGAGAAACAATAGTTGGCTCAAGATGGAAACGCTTTCGGAGCCATACGGTATAACAGCTTATCTCCTGCATTTTAGTCCCGAATTTCTCCTACATTTACATTACCGGTCGATGCATCGTTACGAGCTTTAGCCGAGTTACCAGATGAGCACGACAAAGTGTAGCTAGCCTGTGACCACGGAATGTGTGGGTCGAGCTGAACGTAAAGCCGCCTAGTCGCTCATCTCGAAACGATTTGGATTGCTAACCCTTACACATTTTTCGCACAGGAAACCGCTCTTGCAGATCTCTTCTTTTCCCCGCGTCGATTACTTCGTGATTGATGTAGCGCAGGAAAAGGAATAGTATTGATCGCAGACGTGATGGACGGATGGAAAGAGCTATACTGGGAGTGCGCCGTCAGCACATATGCACACTTCGCGCTAAGTGCTACTTCAGCACCTCAACCTTTCGCCTTCATCACTTTCATGTGTCACCAGACCCGCATCTCCAAAAGAGCTGCAGCCTTTATACCTTAGTAGCACGCGTAAACCGCAACATCAACATTTCGACGACTTAGGGCTCTGAGACCTGCCACACTCTACTAAAAAGGGAATCATGCCGCATTTCATACCGGGATATTGAGCACATCTCGTTGCATCGACCCACGCTCGATGTGATCTGCCTGCTGATAACATCCAGCGAGATATCATCATTGTTCATGACATTCTTCGTTAACCAGCTCACACAAAATGAGTGAGGACAAAGTAAAGCACCAACGGTAGTCTGTCTGTGTATGGCTCAACGAAGTCATGATGAGCTTGCTTCGATTTCCGGCCACTTGTTGTTGAGCGGCCCGTGAGTTTCGTATAATCTTTGCATAACATCGTTGCCTCCCCCTCTTGAAACGCGACTAGATAACTCTTTCCTGTACCTAAAAGCGCAGTAAGGAGCTATTCAGTGTAATCGGGTGCGAAGTGTCAACGGAAACCAAACAAATCGTGGAAGACGGGATCGTATAAATTGACCTGGCCCCATGCTGTACCGGAGCAAAAGCTTTTCCATGTTCCGGGGCGTCACGCCGTGCGCAACTTTTGCTAGCTGAAAAGAGAGACAACCGAAGCGTCATGCTGATATGACTGCAGGTCGGATGCAGCTGCCGTCAGTGCTTTGTTCAAATGAGTGATTCGTGAAGGCGGTGAAATGAGTGACATATTTCAATCACAGCAATGCAGTAATGGCGACCTCGAGTCTACAATGGCACCTTGACGCAATCTCGTAGATCCATAGAGGGCTAGCATCGGTCAACGGAAGTTGACGATCAGAGAGGGCATAATGTGTTGACAGGGCACATGAGGCAAACAAAAGCGTGCTCAAGCGGTAGCAATCCGGACAGCGGTCTAACAAACAACACACATTCTGGTTATCGCACATTCACAGCGCTTCATTCTACATATTCATGCAATCTGCAGTTACCATAGTCTGTCAACTCAGCTCAGGACTAAAGCAGCAACGTTGTGTCTAGTACAGCAGGCATTGTTGCTTGGCACTCTTGTAGACTCTTATTGCATCTAGATGACTTTTTGAAGTAGGCATAGCATGCAGAAACAGCGAGCACAATGACTGATGTGCAACGACGCGATCGGACTCACGTAAAAGAAAGCGACGCAAACGCACTGTTTATTCTACGCTAGTACCGAGAACAGTGACGTTGCTGTAACATCGAGTCGTGCGTTTGGATCTGCAATGATGTTATGGCAAATGCACAACTGGTCGACCATACCTTTTCGCTCCCTCAGAGATTTTGATGTGTTTGCAAGCACAATGTGTTGGTCCGTTTTTCTCGCAAGTCTTACCATAACGTGTGTTAGTCAGTTGCCGAACCGAGCAACTCAAAAACGGTCTTGAATGATGCCAGTCACTTCGACCAACAAAACGTACAAACAAACACTGACCTGCTGCATGTCAAACCAAGTCTGTCACAACAAGCTTTGTGTGGACTATTTGGTTGGCCATCATAGTAGTCTCAGAAACAATCGAAGGCTGAGCCTGCTGAAGTGGGCAGCAGTTCAGTGTACTCTGCATGCGCAAACTCGAGCTTACGGTATATCTGTCTATATCAAACATTAATGTGCAGCTCAACGACAACTTCAAAGTTTCCAGGATTGCGTACTACACTACGCCAAGAGACACACACAGGGACAAACACGGCCGTGAGGTCTACGAGCCCAATGATCGTGGGCATGCAGGACTCATAATCCCATCGGACCGTGATCGGCCGAGGTGCAAAGTAAGGAGCTTGTCACCCTTGCTCTACGGGCAGCCCCGTTACTCGCAAACGAAGTGATAGAAGAAACGGACACGCCACGTCTAGCCGAAATTGACAAACGGCTGGCTGAGTCCTCCAACTTGCGGCTGCTGCCGTGATTGATGCTGAGGCTGCTGGTGCTGCTGAACTTGCTGTTGCTGTAACCGCTGTTGTTGGTGTTGCTGTTGCTGGTGTTGCTGGAACTGTTGTTGCTGGAACTGCTGGAACTGTTGTTGTTGTTGCTGCTGCTGGTGTTGTTGTTGTTGTTGCTGCTGGTGTAGGTGCTGAAAGCCTCCCTGGTTCATCTGCATTGCCATGGAGTTCATTGGCATTTGTTGACCTTGGAATCCCATCGACGCTGCACCACCTACATGACAACACACGAAAAACCACAGACACACACATAAGTACGCCGGACCTCAACATCACCTTGTACAAAACGTCCTTCCGTACCCATCGTCATTCCAGCCTGTTGCGGGAAACCAAGCATCTGATTCTGCATCGGGTATCCCATCATGTTGGACGGCATGAATCCCTGTCCATTCATTGCCATTGTGTTCATGGGCAAACACATTCCTGCAGGTCGGAGCTGCATCATCCCCCTCCCATTCATCGGCGTCCCCATCATCGAAGCTGCTGGTGTCGCCATTCCCTGTTGGAAAGCATTCGATGCATGCTGCCCTTGTGTCTGCTGCTGCGAGCCGGTACCAAAGCTCGCCATGATGTTAGCCATCTTGTTCACGTGTTGATCAACTGGCGCCGGAGTGACTAGCGGCGGCGCCGCAAACGCGTCCTTTACATCCGACTGCACTGGTCCACTCGGTGCACCCAACGACGTCCACTCGTCCACTTTCATCTGCATCGCTCCTCCTGCAGCACGTCCTGCCGTTACATCCACACAGTTCGCTGCAGATGCCACTGCAACAGCAGCCACAGGGCCCATCTCGTCAAACGACAACATGTCGACCGATGCCGACACCAACGACGACTGCGACGCTGTCTTCTCTGCGTCTTTCACTCGGGACCCCGTCCTCGAGTCCCGGCGTCTCATCACCCGTCGCTCCTTCTCCTTCACCTCTTCCTCCTCTTCTTCCTCTTCTTCTTCTTCCTCTTCCTCTTCCTCTTCCTCTTCCTCCTCGTCTTCTCCCTCTTCTTCACTTGTTTCCACCGTCCGGCGACGGCCTCTTCGGCCCTCGCTCTCCCGCGCAACGTCCACAAAGCGCTTCCGCTCGTACTTGTCGCGTATCCACCTCTCCTTGTCCCGCACGCCCGAGTGCTCCGACGGCACAACACAGTCACGGGGCAGCGCCGCTTCAAAGTGCGCTTTCGCCCGCGCGTTGCCCCAGCGCTGCATCTGCTGCACCTGCTCGGGCGTCCACGAGTCCAAGTTGACGCTGCGCACGAACGTCACGTGGACGCCCAAGCTCCGGTGGATGCCCGAGCACGCGATGCAGATGAAGACGCCGAGGTTGATGGACGCCCAGCGCGGCCCGCGCGAGCCGCAGTCGGCGCAGAACTTGTTCTCCTCGCGCTTCATGAGCTCGTTCAGCTGCTTCTTGAGCTTCGTCTGGTCGTCGGGCGCTTGGGCGGCGGCGGCGGCGGCGCGCGTCATGACGGGCAGAGGGGAAGAAGGCGACGGCGTAGAAGAGGGGGGAGAGACGATGGACGAAAGTGGACGTGGCGGAAGGTATTATTCCTTTCGGTCGCTCGCGGCGGTGCAAGTAAACTATGAAACGAATGTGGGTGCGCGAGGGGGGGCGAGAGAGAGAGAGAGAGAGGGAGAGGGGTTTGGGTGGCGATAGAAATAGAAAGGTGGGGCAGCGGGGGTCGATTGCGCTGTGCGTGGGTGGACCGCGTGTGGGGGTGGGTTCTTGTCTTGTTGTGTGTGTGTTTTTCGATTGGGTTTTATTGCCTGCGGGGACTTCAACCTCGCAGCGCTCCACCTTGTTACAACGTGCTGACTGACGTAAGCGAGGAGTGGCAGTGTAGATACTAGATTTGCAGCTAATGTGCGCAGAATAGTACCTTTGGCGGCGCTGTGCTTCGTGGTTGGCGACACAACACTCACTGGATGAGCCTGGCCACAATCGCAGCCGATGTGACCACCAGAGACGACTAAACGCGCGCAATGTGGGGTCCGCAAGGTGTCTACATGCATGCTTGTAGTTTACTTAGTTTGAGAAAGCCTAAGATGATGGTTCGCGAAAGGACTTGACTGCGCAGGAAACAGTTCCCTCTGTCCATGTGAACTTATATGCGACTTCGCTTCGTTGATTGCACCATTGCCGAGCTCGTGCGCATACGATTTCGAGACATGAGCCTAAACTCTTATGTGAGGAGACAGCTTTGACTGTCGTCAGTAAACGCGTTAGGTGCCCGCTACACCTGGTAGCTTTTTTTGTGGTCCGTCTGACACTCACGGACTCATCCACTGTGGAAGCGGTGGATGAGGATTGCTTTCACATCACGTGAGAAGGCATAACGCATATGTATGGTGTCACACAGAACGCAATGAAACGAAGGAGCTCGTATGTCGGTTATGCCATTGGTGCCATGGTTGCTGTGTACACAACGCCCGGTCGCTGTTGTATCAAAAGCCCAAACTATTGATATTTTCAAGCTCTACCTGTTGCAACAACGTCTAAACTGGTAGAGCTTCGATAGCTAGAGCATAAAAGTATGGGTTTTTAATACTTGTCAAGCTTATGTCATAGGTTACCTTGGTGTATGAGATTTCTTCGTCGAATTTGACGACGCCATCAACGATCATTCCATCAAGTAAGACGCGGTCAAGTTTAAGCTAGGCGTGTTTAACATGTATGAATGTGCTAAAGCTTGAGGCTTAGCGCTCATTCCCACGAGATATGTGCTGTTGGGTCCTATGGGTACTTCACGGCGCGTTTTAAGCAAACACACCGCGCGTTGTATACAGGGCTCAAGATGAGCTCCTGGGTGGAAGAAGGGCTAGCGTGATTTACATGCTTACGCTCAGCGTCAAGATACCTCGCAAGCTGTGTCGCTTGTAAGCCCATAGATTGGCATAAACTAGTTACTCTGCTCATCAAGAATCGTGAAGATGGCCACGCCAAGACCTATTACGTACGCATATGGCGAGCCAGTACCGAGCGATCTTCACGGAAGAACGACAGGACTGTAGTCGAATAAAAGTTGTATCATATTGGCTTCCTATCATCCTCAAAAATGACAGGAAAACTGAGATCTAGGGCTCCTCGACATCTGCTGTGTTGAGATCGGTAAAAGTCGCTTTCATTACACGAGCGATTGAAAGGCTCATCTCATTTATAACAGGACAATACGCTTATAAGTGTATGGCATTACGCCTATTGTATCGAAAGACTTAAATGAGCGATAACCTGTTCACCAAGAAGGGCCAGCATAGCATGTACAATGCTGCTGCGAAGTCGCTGTTGCGATAGTGCAGAGGGTCGTCAAAAAGGTTAAGCATCAATTGGGGTGGGTTCCGCAACAATACAGCTTCGCCAGAAGAATCAGCATTCTATCTGAACAATGGCGCTACCTGCACAACAAGTTTTGATCATTAAGTGATAAGCGGTCACCGGGGAACCAAAATCTACATATTATCTGTTTGTTGTTTACCCTCGTGATAAGGTATCACTCATAACCTAAATTATTGAAGCGATATAAAAGGTACCAGTTCGCACCCTAGTTGACCGTGAGAACCGAAACAGCTTAGTTTACCAGCTGCTACAGAGTAGTAGGATCTAGTCGCTTGAGCGCGACGCTACTCTTACAGGGATCGTAAAAGGTTCGACGACAGTGACTACAAGCTGACACAACAATCGATCCAAGAGCACGAACGTCCGGTACTTGCGTGTAGAATCCGACACAACTACTGACGCTGAACTTGCCGACTTGTCAATGATTATTGTGGGTTACTCGTCAGCACTATACATATATTTCGACTTGCGGTCACTGTTTACTGGCACCGAAATGGCTCCGGCCATCGAGTAGCAGCGGTTAGTGTTCGAAAGAGGTATTTCTTGTCTTGCATGTTCAATTACGGGTCCTTCTGCGACGTCAGAGGAGAACTGCGGTCTGAGACTAGCTCACAATACTGTTACTCACGTGCTTCATCCCAGACAGTGCGGTATGCTGTCAATACTGTTCTTCTTGTGATCTTCTCTACGAGCGACTACGATTACGCTACGTTGTTTTCCGCACGACACGTGACGTTGTCTCTGATCAACATACTGCAATAGCTCGTACAGGATGGATCAGAAGGGAAATCAACAACGTTTATTGTGTTTCTGTTGCAGCTTTGTCAAGCTGGGACTATGAAAGGTGGGTGTGGCAATCCTGACACAATGACGGATCCAATCGTCGTGCTGCCTACTGCCCGTACCTCCTTCGGCCTCTTCACTTACGTGCGACGATCGTGAACGCAGTAAATGGAATCAAGGCCGGACGGGCGTCAACGACTACATCGCCACTTGTCGTTGTCGCAGCAGAACCTTCCTCCGAGTATGTGTTTTTGCGACTGTCTTCTTCGATCAGGTTCGTCAGCGTCGCTTCCATCTGCTCCCTCGTGATCCTCTTCAAGAACTTGGCACTAGAAGGATTGCTCATAGTTGCCTGCACCAGTGTTTTCAAGTCGTCAAACACAACCGTGTGTGTCGTGCAGTACGACTTGGCCTGTCGGAACCCCGCAGCTTGTAGCTCTTTCAGCACCCTATCGCGTTTCCATGCTGCCGCCAACGGCGGATGTGGCAGTGGCTCTCCATCACCTCCTGCAGCATTGAACATATCGGTGAGCTTACCAAACCATATCAAATGCGAACTCGTGTCGTCCCACGTCGTGACAATCAAAAGACCGTCGTCTTTCAGTACGCGATGAGCCGCTGCCCACGCCGGGGTGCGATTTTGGATAACAGTGAGTCCAAAAGTCGAGCCGATGGCATCGACCGACGCAGTCGGAATGCTGTCCAACGTTGTTCCGTCTGCTTGCAACGGGGTGATCGCGGCACGGAACGGACGCAACGCGGGGTCGTCTTCCAGCGCATTCGTCACTTCCTGCAACATCATGTCCGACCTATCCGACGCGGTGATGCGTATGTCCGTCTGCGTATGGAGATATCGACGTGCGAATTCGAAGCTAAGGACTCCAGGGCCACAGCCAACGTCCAGGAAGTGGAAAGGAACACTCGACTTTGCATTGTGCTCAATTTTCTCGCGAATGTCACGGTGCGCAATTTGCAGTGCGTCGGCGGCCCAGAACTGACTCATCGGACCAAAGACCGAGCTATACGTCGTTGCATGTGCAGACCACTTGGCATCCGCATTAGCCTTCTCCATTTGCGATAAGAGTCAAGATTGCGAGTCGCGATATGGGGGAATGCCTGGAAGTTGAGGAGTGAGTCGGTTGCTGGCTGGGTGGAGCTGGGTGGGAAAAACAGGACTGACGAGCAGGAGCACCTGTCACGCGTGCACTGGTTCACTCTGGCTGCGTGATGACGTTTACGTTGGCAACATTACGAATCAGTAAGTGTATAAATGGGACAGATTGTGGCGTCAACAACGCGACGATCGATGTGATTGCTGGTTTGATGGTGAAGACCAAGCGAGAGGGCAGAATGAATGGAGACGACGAAGAAAAACGCCACCCGAGCTACTCTAGTGGCATCAATGTGTGCTGGACACGCCATGCAGATAACGCGCTTTTGCATTTCTGGCGATCCAAGCGTCTTATCGTTGAGAGTGCATTTGCCCGTCCGCTTGCTTGAAGGTACTGGACGCTCACAACGACATCACGGCCAGAGGAGTGCCGAAAAGGCTCCGTGATATCCATCGGCGGGCGGCATCACGTGCAATCGCATCGCAATACCCTTTGGAATCGTTGATATCGTGTATATGGTGGAGAGGCGATAGCAGCTTGCTACTCGTTGTAATTGCCGCTGTCTGACGAGGACAAGGCTGGGCAGTTTCACCACCCCCAAGCACTACTGAATGCTGGGAGACTCGTAGACTTGCAGCGTCGCACTTGTAGAAAAACGAGCGCCTTGATACGACAGAAGTTCAGAGACAAAACGTTCGCATGCCTCTCAGTCGAGGATCATGGTACCGCATGTACTACTACAGAGGTACGTGTCGCGACGGACGTTTGCTCCCTGTACACATCGAGCGAGTCCAGCCAGTTTGGGTCTCTGTTTACCCGTAAAAAAGTGGGTACTTTATTTTCAGGAGTGATAAAATGTTGGAAGCAAACGCAAGAATGTCCCACGTAACGAAAAGAGCCGCTGGACGGATGGTCAGTATGAACAGCAATCTCGCGTCAGTTCTATCCTCGCAGATCGCATGCCAGTGTTTACGATCCCACCCCTTCGCATTCCAGTGTTTGCGATCCCTTTCTTTTGAGGTGGCTGTATTGGCTTGGCCTTACGGGTTATCAACTAAAATTCACTATCGTACAGAAGCGGACATCCGTTGTCAAAATGACGACGGTAGGGAAAGGTGATGTAATGAGGTTCCCAGGAGGAGGATGAACTCAACGTGAATAATCGGAGATATCACGTAAAAGGTGAAATGAGACAAAATCGGCGACATCGCGAGTAGTGAGTGGATGCAGAAACCTTG